AGACAAGCTTAAGATTGCATTCCCTAATACCTTTCATAGGGATTGCAAGAAGCTTAAGAGTTTCCTTATCTAGATAGAGCTATGGATGGCGTTTAATGCCAAACACTTCACCTAAGGAGTAGAACAGGTCCTATAGGCTATGGCCCTCCTACGAGGACCAGCCTTAGAATGGATCTCTAATTACCTTGCCGACTTCATGAACCATTAAACGTCAGAAGGAAAATGCAACACCTAAGCCAGCTAAAGAACGAAGGAGATTTTTGTATCCTAGGCTAGATTCATTAGACAACTTAAAGCAAACTTTAGGGACATTGATGAATGACAGAATGTAGTTAGGGCACTCTAGTCTCTTAGGCAGAGAGGGTTAGCAGTTGTATACACCATTTCAACAGCATACAACACTCACCAACTAGGGAGAAGAGGCTATCTGTGACCAATTCTACACAGGTCTAAAGGACCATGTAAAGGATAAAATCTTAAGGTCTAACAAACTGGATGACCTTAGAGAGATGATTGAATTGGCTCAGAAGATCGACAATCGTCACTACAAATGGCAACTCGAGAAGAAAGGGGGACCACCTAGTCAACACTGGACTCAGAAGAGAAGACAAACAAAGAGTCATTGGCCCTAACCTATGGAACTCGATGCTACTTTCAAGCCTAATGGCAAACCCACAACCCTAACAAAGAGCAACAGCTTAAGGAATGGCTCTGCTTCAACTACAACAAGCCTAGACACATGGCATGAAATTGCAAACAATCAAAGAAAGGGAATGGCAGACGAAAGTATTGCAAACAGCTCAATGCCACTTAGCAAGGTTAGGGCGGGTATGATGCCCTACGAGGACAACTATGCACCACGTTAAAATGAAAAGAGAACTAGAGTGTTACTAGTTAGGATCTCAAGGAATTCTGCTCGTTGAATAGAGAAAACAAGAATGATGACAAGGAGCTCACTAGCTCTCAAAAGCACTAGTTACAAGCATTTGAGAAGAAAGCAAGTGAGACTCACTTTAAGGAACAGCTACTAGGAGTAGTAAGAACGTTTAAGGAAGCTATGCTCTAGGAGACAGTCGATTAAGGAATTCCTATGCCAAAGCCACTAACGAGCTGGCAAGGCACTACACAAGACTAGGAGGTTGCAGTTTGCCAATGAGGTGCCAACTAGAATACCCATACTAGCAGGAACCCCATAGAGCGAAATACACAGAGATGGAAGCCACAATTTAGCTAGAGTATAAACTCTGTGAATACAATGTCCGGGACGCTATTGCAGAATGGAGAATCTTCGACATATGCCACCCTAACAAAGAGATCTATAAGGCTTGACGAAACAGCCTGTTGTAAGTATTACAACAACTAGAACAAGAGGGAGAGTACAAAGTATCACAGCTTGTAGAAATCTAGACTACAAATGAGTACAATTCTGAGGAACCCATTCTAGAAGAGAAGGGGGAAACACGAGCATTAGAAGCACCTTCAAGAAAAACGAAGAAGAGAAGGAACACTAGTTCCACAACCATTAGAATATGGCGAATATGAGGGTTTTTCCTTAGACGATTCAAAAAACTAGGAGTCCTCAGCAGTAGGCCACTAGCGAGCGACATAAAGAGGCCCAGTACGAACTAGCTATGTGCCATAATGGGCAGCATGCAGCTATATGTGGTTGCTAAGATATAACAGCAACACCTCCGAGCTATGATAGACTTGGGAGTAACAGGCAACTTTATGACAAAGAAAGTAGCAGACACATATGGTTTCAGAACGCAACTAAAGACTGACCTATACCCATTAATGGTTGTAGATAGAGAGCCTATCTCAACTAACAACAGAATGGTGACCTACGAGACGGTCCTATTAGAAATTGTCATGCTACACAGACACAAGGAAATGATACAGTTTGATATCATACACATGGACAATCATACATACATCCTTAGTGTACTGTGGCTCAAGAAACACAACCCCTAGATCGACTAGAGGAAAGAGAAAGTTGTAATGAGCTAGTGTGTATGTGAACGAACGGACATGATGCAAGAAGGGGAGAGAAACTCCTAGGGCTGACGTGAGGCATGTGCAACCCCTACAGAGCCTAGTGACCTAGCCTAGGCACCCTCACCAATGAGTATACTAGTGGAGTATAAGGAATACAAGCAGTTATTCTAGGAGGCCCTAAGAAAGAGGCGCTTCCTAAGCACCAACCATGGGATCATGTGATACCTATTATAGAAGGAAAGAGTCTACCGTTTGGATCAATATATCAGATGTCAGTAGCAGAGCTAGACCTACTAAAGGAATACATTGACGAGAACCTCACGAAAAGGTTCATTCGACCATCGACATCGCTAGTAGGAAGTCCAATACTATTTGTGCCAAAGAAGGACAAGAAGCTAAGACTCTGCGTGGACGAATAATGTCACTATCAAAGATAGATATGCTTTACCTTTGATAAACAAACTACATGACCGGTTCTAGCGAGCCAAGATATTTACCAAGCTGGACCTTAAAGGCGCCTATAACCTCATTCAAATCAAGGAAGGGGATGAGTGGAAAACAGCATTCTACACCTGCTATGGCTTATTCGAATATTTGGTTATGTCATTTGGTCTAACAAATGCACTAGCATCCATGCACAGGCTCATGAATGCAGCCTATGAATACTTAGAAGTATTTGTTATTGTATACTTAGACGATATCTTAGTCTACTTAGGAGACCTAACGGAACATGTTGGTCATGTTAGGAAGGTATTACAAAAGCTAAAGGAGCATCGGTTACTCCTTAAGCTAGAAAAATGCGAATTCTATAAGAATCAAGTTGAATTCTTAGGCTACATCATCAGAATGCATGGCATCAAAATGGACTAAGAAAACGTCACAGCAGTGTTAGAATGGCCAACACTAACCACAGTTAAAGAAGTACAAGCCTTCTTAGGTTTCGCCAACTTCTACTAAAGGTTTATTATAGAATATTCCAAAGTCGCTCAACCACTTACAAAGCTTACAAGGAAAGGCCTCATGTTCAAATGGACAGACAAGGCAGAAGCTGCTTTCTAAGAACTCAAGACGAAGTTCATAGAAGCACCTATCTTAGCCACATTCAACCCTGAAAAGAAGATAGTCCTAGAGACAGACTCTTCTCATTTCGCGATTAGAGCATGTCTAAGTCAACTAGACAAAGACAGAAAGCTCAAACCAGTCGCATATTACTCTAGAAAACTGTCACCTATAGAGCTTAACAATGACATCTACGACAAGGAGCTAATAGCTATTGTCATTGCTTTTGAGTAGTGGTGAGTATATCTTGAAGGATCGACCTACCCTATGTAGGTATAGACGGATCATAAGAATCTCATATAGTTCAGTACGGTAAGGTTTTAAACCGCAGACAAGTCTAATGGGCAGAAACACTCATAGCCTACAACTTTATGATTACATATTGCAAGGGCTCTAAGAATGTAAGAGCTAACGCTCTTAGCAGAAGGACTGACTACATCAGCCCTAAAGAAGAAAGACCTAGAGCCATATTAAAGAAAACAGACGTAGGAATGCAATACAACAAGTTGCTAGCCACTATTGCTACTATAGAGAACTTAGAGTTAGAAGAAAGACTTAAGAAAGCTTATGTAACAGACGAATGTGTAAAGCGAGTCTTAATGAAAACCGAAGGCTACTTCACCATTAACGAACAAGGATTAATCCGATTCAAAGGATTAGTGTATGTCCTAAACAAAATGAGATGCCCGCTAGTGCAAGAACTGTCATGGTTCACCAAGGCATAGGTGTAACGCTGACTTCTAAACGATAGAAGACACAGAGGTTCTCTTGCGTAAAGGTTTACTTATCAGAGGAGGCAGGGGATCAGACACAAAGGCTTCAAGTAACACGTTACTAGTATATAACAAATACTGTATTGAGTTGAGCACGAAGCTCCTATCTAAGAACTAACTATCTACTTATATAGTGGCGTCGTGCCTAGTGGACTCCTGGGAACTCACTCGAGTCCTCGGAGTCCTGGACTCTTAGGATTCTTCTCATCATCCTGCGAGTCCGTCACGTGATACTTTCGGAACTACTATTCCCCGCTGCCCCTCCAGGTACCAGGGCCGGTCTCATGCGACCTCCCTCCTTCCTGTCCTGTAGTTGGCCAGCCTTCTTGTTCCGTCGTAACAATAGGGCGCCAGTTGGGTATTATGAATTAAACTCAATCTAGAGAAGGAAGGAAAGAGAAGAGGAGCACTCGAGCAGTGGCTTGATCTATATACAGCTATGTTGGAGTGAATTCTCAGAACTGGTCTCTTTAGCGAGACCAGTTCTGAGAATTCACTCCACAACAGAAAACTTCGCTCCAACCCCGGAAAGCTCCCCACACCCCTAAACCCCTACTGGAGCTGCAAGGCGCACTTGATATCGTAACAAGAACAAGGAATCCTTTAGAGCGGAGAACCACACCCAAAATGGGTGTGTTTCTCCGGTAGCCGAGTGATATCTCTTGACAGTATATAAGCTGGCTTCATAGTGTAGGATGTAGTATATAGAACAGAGTAAAATGATTCAATTAAACAGGCTATTCTAATGGGACTACGCATACTTTTATAGGCTCTAAATAACCCCTAATAACCCCCAAAACTTCCGAGTGAGGCGCCCCTTTCGGTGCAGAGCTTTCACCAGAATATAGAGCCCTAAAGAGGTTCTGTAAGAACCGTGGGTTGAGTCCCCTGGCTCTGTGAGAACCATGGGACAGCTCGGGTCCGCGGCGGAGATTCTCCGGTTTTCTAGAACCAGAACCACAGATTTTTTCTGACCCCCGGCCCGATTTCTAACACTCTCTCCTTCCTTAGTTGTAGTGCTCCGCGTCACGCCTAGTCGACTGTGTTCTATAAGCGGCCACGCCTGATGGTGCTAGGTTCTGGGATTATAATCAAGTTCTTCTCATTCCCTTTGATATCTTTAAGTCTGCTCGCTACAATCTATCTCACTCATTCAACCTTTAGACAGCAGAAATGAAGTCCGCTGCATTCGTACTCCAATACGCCGACATAATCCGATCAAAGTCGGCCCCCGCCTCGACAGGCTTTGTAAACCTCGACTGGATATGGGTAAAATAGAGGTTAAACATCCCATTGGGCAGTCTAGCGCAGCTGTAAACCAGTAAGTCCCCAGTTGCCAGCCCTTCCGCATTATATGCGTATATGGGCTATTCCCACCCTTAAGAGATCGCTCTTCGACTTCAAAGGCTTCCATAAATTCTGCATGCACGCTAGCGTACTCTTCGAGATCTTCCCCATCAAGGCCGTCAAGGGAACGACTAGTGGGCCAATATGGCGGGTGTAGCATCTCTATCGGCCGAGCGCACACCCACTCGAGGTCACTGATCAATGTGATGTTTCAATCAACGAAGATATTGCTCGGGTGAAGGTCGGTGAACACGAGAACAAATGGCCCAGCGTAGATCGCGGCTAGTAAATTGTCGAGAGAGACCTCGCATTATCATTAATGCTAAGGGTTACATTGTTACCACGGCCCTTTCGTGAATTCTCAATGACTGTTGCCTTAATTGCTAAATATATTTCTTAAATGTCTAATAATCTTGCATGACATTCCAAAGTTGTGGAAAGCAGCAACTATTTGACAAACTACAAAGGAGCTCGCACAGCCGATCTCGCTCGGGTTTCTCAGCAACCCAGTGTGTGTGAAACACCTCAACGTGCCCTTTAAGATGGCAGCCCCAGTCTTCCCAACGCCCAGGATTATTGGAACCAAGAGGCCGGAAATCTCCTACAAAGAATGCCCTGCCGCCCGCGTGATTGCCTTCAACGCTGCCAGGAAGGTGGCTATAGTTTATACAAAGCGAGAGAGATACTATAAGCTTCCCGGCGGCGGCATCGACAGCGGCGAGCAACATGAGATGGCCGCCTTGCGAGAAATGCAGGAGGAGACGGGCGGGATTGTCAAGATACGCAAAAATTTCGGATGTGTTGCCACGACTGAAGAATACCGCAATGACCTGCACCAAATGCCATAGTGCTACGTCGCCGACGTTGTGGACGACTCTGGCAGTCCCAGCCTCACGGAGGACGAGGTCAACGATGGACTTGGTCACTTATGGCTGTCGGTCGACGAGGCGAAGACCAAGATGGCTGGGGCAGAACCGAGGTCGGAATTAGGCCTCTATATCAAGGAGCGGGATATATACCTTCTTGGTGAAGCTATAAGACGCACGGAGGAGGAGATAGCTTGAAAGGAAGGGGTCCGTCCTTCGGTACTTGAGCTTCTTTGGTCAACTGATAGAGAAAAGATTACATGCGGTTAAAAATAACTTTATATTTATGATACTGCCTTGCATTTATAAAAAGTAACTGGAATATACCTGTTCCTAACATGACTATCAGCCCTCTGCAGGATTCCAGCACAGCCAATCACGTTCAATATCCCATCGACAAGTCTCCTGCAATCAACATTGACTTCAATAGCGACGAATACCTCTTGCGTTAGGACAGTGATTGGACGGAGACACCAGATTTAGCATCTTTTCCCAATCGTGAATAATGCAACAGTCACTCTCATACCGCATAGCGATCGCGTTAGAGAGTTATGGGCGACATCTCAGGTGCTTGCATACGGTGCGGACTCTCATATAAGGATCTTAGATTCTTACGCTGATGAATTCTCAGTTTGTAAGGTAGCAAATCAATGATCGCCAAAGACGCCTACCTAAAGGCGAATTCCCAATTCTCCAGCACTTAATCATTCAAAGATATTCCCGTTGTTCGTGTACACCAAGAGCCGTTGACTGACGAGCAAGGCATTTTTGCTTTAGAATGGAAAGACTAACTTATCCAAAATCGAAATGGGCAATGCGGCCGAATATATACCGGAGGTTTCAAAGGCATTCGAAGAAGTGCACCGGAGTGGTGTTGTGCATCACGACATCTCTCCAAGCAATATAATGCTGAACCAAAAGGGGCAGGTTACCATCATCGACTTCGGTCGGGCTGATATTAAGCTGGAGGTTCCTTCTATTAAAGCCGTGGGGAAGCCGGAGAAGAAAATTTACTCAGTTGAGTCTGACAATGTCTCTTTGGAAAGAGTCAATATATGTATCCACTTCAAAGATAACAGCTTCAAAGGCTCACTCATTAGGTATATTTCTTCGAAAAGGGCGCCTCAATTACTAGTATATGCTTATGCTCATCACGGAGTATATTAAGGAGAAATTGAGGCATGAAACATGGTTCGTGCATACCAACCCTACCCCATATCTATTGGTGCGAAAACTTCATCTCGAGCATTCTCGATTTGGACGTCTATACCTCTTGAACAACGACATATTGCGTTGGCACCTGTCCTCCACCCACGACCTGTGCCCCCTAAGCTCCTCGGCGCTCCGCAGGTCGTAGCTGCCCAGCAGCTGCACTGTTGCGATTAGGGTGGCCATTTGAAGTCGGTGGGGCTGCTCGCAGTAGTCGCTCCTGGTTGCTGCGTCCGGGGACGACGCACGACCCGCACGCCCGGCAGATCACGACCCGCTGCGCCGCATCGTACGAAAACATCGGAGTAGCGGAGGTGATTATCGCACGCACAGCGGAGGGCCTGTAAGGGTAGCTGCATATAAGGCTGGCCCGTCGGTCGTCCCAGCGGTCGTCAGGGGGAGGCTCGTCCTTCACCGGAAGCTGGCCAATGCGCGCACGGGATCTCGTCCTTCACCGAAAGAGCAGAGCGGCCTGAACTTCAGCATCCTCTTGTGAGGCTGCAGGAAGTGTTGTTCGAACAGGATGGCTGAGTTGACGTTTGCGTTTAGAAAAAATTCGAACGTCTGGGCTTAGTCGAAGCCCAATTTGAGGCGGTGTATCAACAAGGATGTCGGATGGAAGTGGAGGCTCATACGCCATGAAGTCGCCAGGCCCAGGAAGCTAACGGTCTGTTGTTACGCCGATGACATTGGAGCTGCGTATTTGCTCGATTTATCTAGCCTTGCACTCTGAATGTCTTCCCGCTTTGTCGTCATACCCCCTCTTGCTTTGCGTCTTTTAATCGCATGGCTCTTTTCCTGGTAAATTCTTTCCAATCAGAATCGTTTTTAACGCGCCAAGTCTCAAACTCCCTTTCCTTCTTAGCTTTTCTCTCGTCGCGAGCTTCCTTCAACCGAACTAGTGCATCATCTTCTCTCTCCGATATTTCCAGAGTCAGCACTCTTTCAACCTCCCTGATATTCTCGTTATCAAAACGCCTTTTATCGCTCGTATTTAAATTGAACAACAACTTCGGATTCCTCCAATCCGCACTCCATATAGCCTCAACTTCCCTCACTGTGACCTTACACTTCACTAATCCCCTGATGGCCCTCAATGTTCGCATTCCATTTGCGGCAAACAAATTGTTCTGCGGGTTCCTCGCACCCTTCATAGTCTCATCCATTACCATGACATCTAACCAACTCAAGCTCGTACACTTAGATAGTAGCTCGAAGGCCTCATTTCGCTGCGAGCCTTGATACGCAAAGGATATATTTTGAATGAACTTGCGGCAATCACCAATCATGTGAAGATAGGCATACATGTCCCATGTCGATTTAAACACGAAGTTGTTCGAGCCGAAATAAATAGGGAGAACTTCATCACGGACTCGAGTGCAAGTCCTCGCGATAGCAAGAGTCCGTTCATGTGGAAGAGAGAGAAAAGATATTTCCGATTGTTCCCTCGACTGGACATCGTTAAAAATTGCCATCACATTAGGACATAAGGCGTCGCGGGATACCAGGAGAAGGGTGTAGATAGCAATTCGAATTTCCGCAGGCAGCGTGAAGAGGCGTGAATCTGGCGGAGAAACCTGCGCAGCTTTTCCACGCTTCCGCAGTGAGAGGCCATTTTTGGACATTTCGAAATTCGGATAATTCAATCCACGTAATTTTGGTAGCCAAATGCCGAAATTTAGGTAGCTTTGAACGTTGGAGCCTGTTCAGGAACTCTCCTATTGATGCTCGCCAAAGTGACACGAGAGCATGTGATCGGATTAACTATTCATCCGTCGATACCACTGACAACTCGACAACAACTAGACAACGAAATCGAACTGGCCAATGGCCTCAACTTGAACAAATTCTCTACGACTTTTAGCGACGAATTGATAGCCGCGGTGGCTTTGTGTCACGATGCTCTCCAAGCCAATCACCTCAGGGCATTAGAAGCATTTAGAGGGCGAAATTGAGGCAATTCAGCTTAATTCCTTGGTTTAGGAGACATTAGATAGGTGGATTACATAATACTTGGCATTTCAATATAACGATATTTTCACTTTTACGATATTTACACGTGTCACCAATTGTATTGACTTAACGGGAGTTGACTGTACATATTTTGCTGTTGATCCGGGGAAAACCCATCACTCCTTTCTATTGACAGGTCTGAAGGCTTGACGAATCTGTTTTCATGGTCGTCGTGTCAGGGATCTAGACAATCTTGAACTTGCCATCCTTCCTGACTCTCAAAGCCGCCCGAGCATCTGGTCGTGGCTGCCTAACTTTGGCTCGCGTTTCTCGGTGCCACTACCCAGCGCAAGAGAAAAGTGCGGTGTTACTTCAGCTGGATGGTGCTATTATACAGGTCGCCGTGTTGATATTGGCTGCAGGGCGAACCACACAAGCAGCAAGGCTGCCTATTCTGTTCACTCACCGAGGTTGATACATAAATAGAAGGCTTCCTGTCCGAGAGCTCCGTTGACCAGTCTCGAAAACTTCCCCAATTACCTACTTCTTTATATTATCAACGCAACCCAGATATAACGCCTTTCATCCCTCTACCTAGAACTTCCACCCAGCTCACAATGTGCTTCATCTATACCACCACGACCAAGTACACTAAAGCTCCTTGCACCTATAAGTGCACCGAAGTGAAGACGAGAACAGAAACATGCGACGATGTTAAACAAGGGCGTCCATGCCAGGGCACTGAGACCTCTAATGCTGCATCAACTACGAAGCGCAGCAATTGTTCCTCCCATCACCCATGGTAAGTCTAGCTGAGATTGAATAAAACGGCCATACTAAATTTAACATTGATAGAAGATGAAAATAATGAAGCGCAAGAAACATAATATTTCTGTGGAATCACTGCTGTCATCGTTGTTGCATGGGAGCTATCAGTGTTAATTGAAGCACTCGTACCTGGCCATCTCAGTGGATGAAATTACTGACATTATATCGTTCTACAGAACTCAACGCTGGATTCCTTCTCTTTCAATAGCGCTTAAAATAGCTTTGAATGACATGAATTTACCATTCCAGCAATCCCTGATAATAGGGCCGAAACCTATACCTTCGGTCGCGGGAAATTCGCCTCGAATGAATTGAAGTTTCACACTCTCATCATCTAACTGCGGGTATGGAGCTTCCCCAGTGATGATCTCGTAGCATATTGAGCCAAAGGCGAAGATATCATCTGCAGGATTGAAAACTAACTCGTTGAAATCGTCAACAGCTCGTCGATACCTCAATGGCTGGATGGCCAGATCAGTTGAGGGGGCTTCGTAATTGTGAGAACTGGCGAAATCACAGATTTTGATGTTATAGTGATCGTCTATCAGAAAATTTTCTAGCTTGCTGTCGCAATGAGATATCTTGTGTGTGTGTAGCAAGCTGAAAGATTCGGCGATCTGGGCGACCCACAGATGCTTGCGATGTTGCGTAATTTCAGGTTGAGACTCGATAAAGCGAGCCAGATCTCCATTCTTCATCCAGTCCATGATGATACAATCATCTTCGATATGGTAAATTGATAAAAGTCGCGGGTGGCTTCCAAGGATTTGATAGATGGTCCGTTCATTGAGTAGATCCTCTGAGGATTCAAATCGCTTTTCAACCTTGTTTTCATCCGCTAGACGGGAAACGACGCTTGAGGTTCCAATTCCAACTATGCTGTGGAATGTTAGCACTTGCCAATATGCTCTTATATAACCAATGAACCTACGTCCTTGGTTTAATGTTGCGATGTGGTGGTATTTTGGTCGTCTTAGAAATACATGTTGTGCTGGAGTGTACAATTAATATAATGCGTTGAGGCGCAAGGTTGTTAGGATATACATACGACGTTGAAGGTTGGAGGTCGTCTATCTTCAGTTTGATCTGGTCTGCTGGAGGATTTTCATCGCTGACCTTGTGACCAGTCTCAATGTCCTGTTTTATCGAAAGTGTATCCGTCTGCCATGACACCGTACTAATTAACCAAACGAGAAGATCCACAGGCAGCTTCCACAACATCGTCCATCGCGGCCACCAAGACATCCAGCGATGGGCACGTATTGCGACGGTTGTAGAGAGGTAAAAGGTCTTGTCGAATTGAGTCTGGGCTAAAGGAGCGTGTCTGCAGACGGGAAGTTTGATTCATGAACGCCTGGTTTGATAAAAGAGGGCTGATGGTAATCCAAGTGTGGCGAAGATAATAGAGAAGTGTAGAATCAATTGATGTTTGAATGCGCGGGACATGTGGGTGGTGAGCTGAGGCGAGTGTTGGAGGTAATTGCGGAATACGGGGAACTACACGCAAATTTGTGTGGTAATCTCCGACTACCATAATCAATCCTTCGGGCAACGGAGCAGAAGCTTCACGGTAGAATACAGCAAATATAGTATATAACGTGGTTTATCAGTACGTCGGACATATCAGTACCTCGGACACTTTTCCCGAATTTCCTACCCTCTAACTTCACAACGCGTTTTTTCCACCTTTTATTATGTCAGTGATTACCCAAGAAGCAAAAATCATTCTAGCTATCGAGGCTATCCGAACATCAAAAATCTAAGTCGTCGGAAGGCTGCTAAGCTCTATGAAGTACCTCATTCTACACTCTGCGACAGAATGAACGGCCGAACTACTGTCTACGAACGCCGGCCTGCAATGATGAAATTAACTATACTAGAAGAGGAGGTGGTTATTCAGAATATACTTGATATGGATTCAAGAGGATTTGCACCCCGGCTTGCTGGTGTAGAAGATATGGCAAATTTTATACTCGAATCGCGTGGAGGGAGGCGCGTCGGGAAGCTCTGGGCCCACCGATTTGTACAACGACGTCCAGAATTAAAGACGCGTTTTAATCGCGTTTACGACTTCCAAAGGGCCTTGTGCGAAGATCCTGAACTAATTGGCGCGTGGTTTCGACTAGTGGAAAATATGAGGGCAAAATATGGTGTTTTGGACTGCGACTTCTATAACTTTGACGAACCTGGGTTTATGATGGGTGTGATTTGCCCTGCAATGGTTGTTACCCATGCAGATCGACTTGGCAGAGGTAAGGCAGTTCAGCCAGGGAATCGGGAATGGGCTACAGCGATTGCTTGTATCAACAGTGACGGCTGGAGTATTCCTCCATTTTTGGTAGTTAAAGGCAAGAATCATCTTGCAAATTGGTATACAGACGGCGGCCTTCCACACAACTGGGTTGTTAAACCGACAAGCAATGGATGGACAAACAATGAGATGGGTCTAGAATGGTTGAAACACTTCGACAAACATACTGCTGTTCGTGCAAGGGGTCCATATCGAATGCTGGTGTTATGTCATACTGACATTCATTGCACTCAGTTTGCTATCAAACTCAAGAGCAAACTTAGAAATCTCCTCCTCAAACCTACAAGTCAACATACATATCTTGGCTTATCACACCAACAACAGAAGCAATACTACTCAACGATTGCTGCAAACTCTTCTACTACATCTGTTTATGCTACATACATCACGGCATATCATTTGGACACTCATTGAACAAGTTATTAAGAAAATCTCCTCCTTAAGGGGGTGGGCCAATACTACCACATGGCATATCTCTACCAACTAGAGGCCTAGGAACATGAACGATAGCTCTAGAAGCTTCTACAACCCTCTATGATTCATTACAGTAAATCGACTATCACATACTTCCATGTCTTTTACAAGCTTCCAAGCATTCATCTTGTTACTCCTTGTTTCTGAAAAGTCAGTGAGGTGTTAACCTCTGACTTACCCCTGAGTTCCCAGACTCAACATTTGTTGCAACTTGTCTGAACCACTTCACTACATCACACACCTGATTGCTGCGTTGTGGAATAGTCTAAGCTACAACCCTTTGGCTCTGTTTCCTAAGACAGTGTGTTGTCTTAGTAAAATCATCCCTTCCTTGGGTGGCTAGATTCTCACATCTGGTGCACCCATCATTACATGTTAGACGGGCACGAGAGTCATGAATCGGCCGAGTTCCAAGAGTACTGCAAGGCACACAACATTATAACTCTTGGACTACCTCCCCACTCGTCTCATTTAACTCAGCCACTTGATGTCGGGTGCTTTAGTGTGTTGAAGCGGGCATATGGTCGGCAGATTGAGACCTTCATTAAGGCTCATATCAACCACATTACCAAGGTCGAGTTCTTTCTCGCCTTTAGAGCAGCATATCTGGAATCCATGACAGCCCAAAACGCCCAGTCCGGGTTCCGCGGAGCTGGCTTAGTGCCTTTCGACCCGCAAGAAGTGCTTTCAAAGCTTGACGTGAGGTTACGGACTCCAACTCCCTCTAGACCCTCTACTGCCAACACCAACCCTTGGGTCTCCCAGACCCCTTCCAACCCAACTGAAGCTCTTTCACAAACAACCCTCGTTCGAAATCGAATTGCCCGTCACCAAGGAAGCTCGCCAACTCCACTCTTCGGGACAGTTATTGCATTGGCAAAGGGTACGGAGCGACTAGCACATGAGAACACCCTTCTGTCTGCTGAGGTACATACCCTTCGAGCAGCCAACGAAGCCCTTAGCAAACGCCGCAGGGCTAAAAAGGCTCGTGTCCGTGAAGGAGTGCACTTATAGTAGAGGATGCACAGGCTATTATCGCACAGAAGGATGTGGATGAGCAGGTACGACGCGACGTACGTGCAGTTGGGGGTAGTTGCAAGGAGGGGCAACCGTCTAGGCGATGCTGTGGGATCTGTGGAAAAGCTGGTCATAATGCGCGAACTTGTCAAGAAGCTATAGATATGTCTAGTTCATCTGATTCCGCTTAGTTATAGTTAATTTAATATGTTATGGTTGATTTATTGATATTCAAAGTAGAATGCCAATGAAAAGTGTCCGAGGTACTGATATGTCCGACGTACTGATAAACCACGTTAGATCAATTGAATTACTACCTAATCTACGGGCCTACGTACGCTACTTGTAGGCCTGGGGGAAACCCCCGAAACCCTGACAAGCTGAGCTTTCCGGGCTCAGCTGGGCTTGGGTCAGTGGCTCCCAATAGTATGGCGCCACTGTCTCACCCGTAAATCAGCCGGGAAGCTGGACGGTCTCACGGGGATTACCCGTCATTTTGGGCGTAAAAGCCCACGGTATCCCACGGGAATGTCCGTTTTCCCCAACAGCGAGGCTGTTCGGTTTAGATCACGTGATGCAGTTCCTGGCGGTGGAAAGGGGTTATCACCACCACCCGAAGAAGCAAGCCTCGCTGGAGTTGAGGTCGCCTCTGCCAGCGAGACGTCCTGGGTCGCGGCCGTTGATACCGCTGACGACGTTAAAGCGGATTGGATTGGCGGAACCCAGGATAGGAGCGTAGCCTCGATAATGGACTCAGGCTGCTCGTGAGTCTTCTGTGATTTCCCTAACAAGACGCTGGAATGGGAGCTAGTATCAAGTTGCTGTCTTCTGATATCGCGGAGAGCCTTGGTGCCTATATGTTTATTAGAGAGTTCTGGTAATCCTCTGGTAATCCTCTGGTAATCCTCTTACTAGACTTTGTGCAGCGCGTGGCCTTCTGAGCATGATTGTTGCTAGCTTGAGATGAGCAAACTGGAGCTTTTCTTGCTGTGCCCACAGCCTTTTCCTGTCCCTTTCCGCCAAGCCCAGAGCCAGCCCGTAATCCAAGTGGCATCCTTGGTGCTATGCCGCCAGTTGATCTCCTAGCAGTTTGCTTGGTACGAGTCATTTGCTAATATCAAGGTGAGTTAGTAAAGTAAACACAAGATAAAGAAGTAGATCAAAAGATATGTGTACTTACAGTGAGTTTGTAGAAAGAATATTGTAGAAGAAGAGTATAGTAAAGAGGTAGAGGTTGAAAGGTATGTGTTTTATATGAAGGTGCGCATTGTGGTGTTGTTTTTGGAACAGTAATTCTTTGTAGGTGAATATTCCTTCACAAATATTTTTGTTTGCAACTTTAAAATAACCACGACCTTAGAACCACCTTCCTTGGTTACTCTCCGATCTACACATTCTTCTTCCCTTTTGAGCCTTTACCTCTTCTCTAGGACTTCAACTAAGTTTATTATCTTGATTCTATAGCCAGAACTTCTGGAGATCTCTGCTAATCACGTGTTTAGTTAGTATGGCGAAACTCAAGGCACATGAAGAACTCTCCACTAATGCGAATACTATCAAAGCTCGCAACTGCGTCTCCAACCTTACTGAAGATGAGAAGGCTGTTCACTTAGCACTCAAGGCTGACCATGCTGATCTGAGCTACTACTTAAAGAAGTTATATAAGTCTGCAAAGTGTAAGGATGCCTCCTTACCTAGATACTCGAAGAACCCGCCTCAGAGCTGTTACGGTCACCACAAGCATGAAATCCGACTCGGTGTGGTTTCGGACCAGTAGAGGAGGACATAGCGAGTTACACTATAGTGGGGGACGGTAAGGGTGTAGGGTTCAGGGTCGATGCGGACCTGTTGCGGTGGAAGGTTCAGGGCTAGGGTTGGGATAACCGAGTCGGGCCCGTTTCGGGTACTTAAGGAAACAAACTTAACGGGGTTCCCCCTTCATCTTTTTTGTATCCTTCGTAGTAGACCTACAGGATAGCATCCTTTTAGCCTCCAACTCGCACTCTCATATGCTATTACTGTGAGCTGGGTGCCCTGTGTCATTACACAAAGTATATCGCTGCCTCTACTGAAGACAAGACACGTCTACAGAATGAATTGAAGGTTGAGCGTATTTGTGTTCGGTAAGTCCCTTCTGGTAATCTCTGGTAGCCTCAATCTAACTATAAACAGGACTGAGAAGGGTACCCATGCATCTTGCATTGCGAATCAGAAAGTCAAGAATATTAGCGCCTCTTCTTCTCCACAAGCCCCACCATCTACTCCGCCCAAACAACTTCTGTCTGAGCTTGCTGCATTTGAGGGTATCTCAAGTATTCCAATCGATGACAATCATAACAGCGAATGGGAGGATACTGAGGTTGAAGACGATTTGGAGTTGGAGCTTATGTTACAGCGCGAGATATTTTAAATGACGAGGCTGTTCTACCAGATGAGCTTTCCGATGAAGAGATCACTAGCACCCAGGCTCTCTTAACTCAAGCGCACATTGATGTATGCTACCTCATAATCTGGTAATCTTCTGGTGATACTAATAGTTGATAGGCCCATGAAGAGTCCAATTTCCGCAAGTGGCAACATTTCTGGGATAGCTGTATCCACTCATATACGAGAAAGGCTGGAAAGCTGAGAAAGAAGCCTGAGCGTCTCTTTGAGTATATGCCGTGGATTGATGTAGAGGAAGGGTACGTCTCTGATCATCCTAGCAATCTTCTGGCAATACTAATTGTTTATTATAGCACTTTTCACGAGGTTATCCCACCACATAAATATTTCTGTTTGTACGAGCAGGCAGTTTGGAAAGTGGGCCTAATTACCAGGACCTGTGCAGTGGTACCCAAAGTCTTACAATCTTGTCGACAATGGATGGTTGCAAATATCCACTCATAGTTCTAGCTTCAAAGAGGCGTTCTTACTTGTCTACTCTAAGAAGTTTGATAAGGAAAAGTGGGCTAAGGTATCAGCTGCACAGGATATGTTGTTCCTGGAGCTAGAGTAGAGGAGAACTTGAGTTGCTAAAGTTATAGCGCTGGAGTACCTTTCGCGTTGGAAAACCAGGTATTTAAGTACTTCATCGTAGCCAGACTTCTGGTAACCTTCTGATAATCGAGCAATTTGCCAAATGCCATCTCAATACTCAGAGTTGTTTGATTCTGACAGTATTCTCAGACTCTTTTCCGTCTTCTCAACGACTATCCTCATTAAATTAAGTCTGTAAGGACACAGGGCACCCAGCTCACAGTAATAGCATATGAGAGTGCGAGTCAGAGGCTAAACGGATGCTATCCTATAGGTCTACTACGAAGGATACAAAAAAGATGAAGAGAGGAACCCCCGTTGGGTCAATCTCCTTAAGTACCCGAAACGGGTCCGACTCAGCTAACCTGCCTTAACTCTTATCATGTGACCGTAACCTGCCCGACTCAGATCCTTTCCATCACTGAGGGACAGGCATCCTTACAAAGTCCCTGCAGGCCTTGAATATATTGGCAAGTTAAACCAATTCGTCAAATGGACTAAGGATACACACGATATATTCATTGAGTGGTGGAAGCTATCACGATGGTATGAACAACACTCAGATCATACTACAAAACTCCTTATGAAGATTGCATGGGATTCAACCAACTGGAGTTCTCAATACTGGAGAAGTTATCACCAAGGAGCAGACCGGCTTTCTGGAGAACCATGTGTTATTTGTACTTATTGTTCGAAGGCCCTTACGCATCCTGCAATCAAGTCTGCTGGCCCAAAGTCTATGGCAACACATCTTGCATCAGACATTTGCAAAAAGAAGTCACAGATGGGAAGGATAGTCTCTATCAAATGCGAATCAATCAAATGCAACCTCAACAAGTAAGGATTACCAGATTATTACCAGAATTATGTAACGTACATGTATAGCGAAAGCGCCAAACAAGCGAAAGCGCCAAAATTATCTACCCTCACGACAAACATTGCGATAAATCTACCACAACATTAGAAATCAATTGAAACTACTCGGAGTCCTCTTCCTCAGAGGTGTCTATTACAATCTGACACGTGCGCGCATTGTGCCCAGTCTCACCACACTTGCCACAGCGACGGGCACGGGTTTCTTCCCTTGGCTTCCGACCACGGCTTGCCCTTATTTCCTGCTCTACCTGCTGCACAACATCCCTCTCATCCTGTAGCTCTTGCGCCCCTTGTTGACTAAGTGATCCTCCTTGCTGTAGTCGTGTTTTCCTAGCTCTCCGGCGCTTGCTTAGTACTTCATTTGCCTGTCGTAGGTTTTGGTTCTCTCCCTTTAGCAGTGCTAATTGATGCATTATTTGCGATGCACCCTTTGTAAACTGGTCAACAGCTGCATAGATTGAGGTTGGAGAGCTATTTTGATGGCGTGAAATCCGAGTTTTAATAAATGTAGACTGTGACATAGCTTCAATTGGGTTGTTTGGTGTCTGAGAAACCCAAGGTTGAGCAGTACCTGGGCGGGAGCTTGGAGGCGTTGGTGTCCTTAACTTAAGATCAAGTGTAGATATCACTCTCTCAGGGTCAAATGGAAGAAGCCCTGCCCCTCGGAACCCGCCTCGAATGTTACTTTCCGTCATTGTAGTGTTAAATGCAGTGTGGAAGGCAGGAAAGAAGTCATCCTTTGTAATATGAGAAATATGAGCCTGCATCATATCTTCAATTTGCCGACCATAGGCCTGCTTTAACGGGCCGAAACAGCCAACATCAAGTGGCTGGAGTAGATGAGAAGAGTGAGCAGGCATACAAAGCGTAATAATGTTGTGTTCCTTGCAGTACTCCTCAAACTCATCTGAGTGGTGGCTCTCATGACCATCAAGGACTAACAAGCGATAACCACCAACACTCCGGCCTTTGTATGCTTCTCAAAGTGCTGAATCCAATCCATGCCTCTCTCGTTTGTAGTCCAGCCATTTTCAGTAACAGAAATCACCCAATCGCTTGAAAATCCACTATTCTCATACCAAGATGTAAGGTGGTTTTTGCCTGCAACAATGATAAATGGTGGTACTGCCCAACCTTGAGAACTAACGCCTTGGATTACTGTAACCCATTCCCGATTACCAGGCTGTACCTTCTTTGCTTTTGCCCGCCCGTCTGAGCTTGTTACAACCATAGCAGTTGAGATAACGCCCATCATAAACCCAGTCTCATCAAAGTTGTAGATATCTGCTTCATCGATACCATATTTCGCAATTGTGTTACGCACAAGCTCAAACCAGCCATTAATAACTTCTGGATCTTCGCACTTAGCCCTCTGGTAGTCGTATTTGCGCTGAAAGCGTGTCTGGAGCTCTACACGCCGCTTAACAAAGTTTGAAGCCCAACGCGACCCAACGCGTGACGCGTCGCGTGTTGCAAGTAGTCGACTTGCCATATCTTCAACAACAGACAGCCGAGGAGGAAACCCTTTGGCAGCTAGGTCGAGTATATACTGAACAAGGACGGACTCCTCTAGGTTAGTTAATTTCCGTGAGTTGGCTTGGATATCGCGTCGTGAAGGTACACCTTCTAGACGACGACCTAGCTTGCGGTGGTCCACAGAATAGATCCTAGCAGCAACTCGAAGGCGTAACTTTGGGTCGCTTTGCATAGCCTGGATAGCTAGCACTAATTGGCTTTCATCGTTTTTATGGGGCATGTTTTGTTGTTGAGGAATTTAACATTTAGTTGGGGGGTTTGGTCACCGCATCATTTTGGCGCTTTCGCTTGTTTGGCGCTTTCGCTATACATGTACGTTAGGTTAATACCTATAATAAGATCATATTCTCACACAAGAGACATTTTATGAACAAGTTCTATACACAGTTATCTTGACTCATAGCTCGTTCCGCTCAGTCGAGGATCCTCATCAAGACCCTATAAATACTTTAGGTATTAGTAGGTCTGGCCGGCCTCATCAAGCAAGGTGGAGGGATGTTCTTAAGCATATATAATAGATAATAGCGTTCTAATAATCTTCTGATAATCATGGTACTTAGATAGAGGAATATACATGATTCGTTCTCACAGCTTACTAGAGATGGCGAGAGTGATGCTAATAGATGTAATACTTTAACTTAACCATAAAACAGTATTAATCGTATGAGGGACTGTTCACATGATGCATAAATCTTACACGTGATAGCCGAGTACTCACCGGGTTTTTACAGAGTAACTGAGTATTGACCTCACTCACCGAGTCGAGTAAAAGGTTCAGCTACTCACCCAGCTGAGTAACCCACTGAGCGAGTGAGCCGAGTATTGAGCGAGTAGTGCGCAGCCTACTCGTGACACATGATGTTTGACGAAAAAGCCTTCGTCAACTACGCCGTCCTAGACAAGCCGATTCCAGTTAGGTTGGCCAACGGGATGGAAATCCAAGCAATCGCCGAAGGAACCGTCAGCTTCAATATAGCTGTAAGGGGCGGCAAGCGCCGTATCCAGCTTCACGAAGTGCTACATGTGCCAAAGCTCGCTGGAACCTCGTCTCGGTCTCTCATCTGCAAGATAAGGGGATCATGACAAGGACGACCAGCAGCGGCAGGATGTTGCTTGAGCTCAACCAGATAATCGGCATTGCCGTTCGATCTGGGCGCTCTTACGTCCTTGACGGCACCTAGGAAGGCGCCGTCACTGCGCTCCGCGCAGTGGCGATGTCACCATGCTTTGGCATCGGCGATATGGACACTTGAGCTCAAAGAGTCTGAGCCTGGCTCACACCGCTGTTGACGGTCTGCCAGGGCCAATTGGTGAACTCGCGGACCCATGTAAAGAGTGCCTACTCAACAAGAGTACGCGGGTTATCAATAGAAAGGCATCAGAGCACGCAAAAGCCCCCCTCGACAGAACACACAGCGATATCTAGGGGCCTTACCGCTCCCCGGAAATACACAGTAAGAGCACTTACTTTATCACCTTTACGGACGACTATACACGGAAGACTTGGGTCTATATCATGCATTCGAGGGACCAACTCGAAGCGTCTTTATAGGGTTTATGGTCCGGGTCGAAAGAGAGACAGGACGGAAGATCAAGATTGTACACTGGCGCGTGACTCCAGGCTTCAAATTTCAGGGATCTATCGTAGGAGTCCGCCGTATCTACATTTTGATCTCTCCGAGCCGCAGATGGGTCGTCTCAAGTTGCTATCGATCGAGAGCAGCTCGGTCAAGTCCAGGGCCCTGGAAGATGCTCAGCGGATGCAACTGAGTGTCAATGACTCTGCTAAGAAGGCTGGCAAGGTCCACCAAAGTATGTTCTGACTGAGCTCATCGGCAAAGGTAGCTTTGGTCGTGTGTATAAAGGGTGAGTGGTGTATCTCTTGCTCAAATGTTTCGTACAGCAATTGATCCTCTATGCACCACAGCAAAAGATATGACCACGGCAACAAGCAACAATTGTCGCTGTGAAGATCGTCGACTTAGATGAGAGCGATACCGTCGATCCTCGCAATGCAAACTCATACAGCGAATTCTTGAAAGAGACTGGCGCCCTTAAACTGTTGAGCTAGAACAAAGCGCGGAACATCAATCATGTCATTGATACATTGTTGGTTGACCAGACCGTGTGGATGGGAACGGAGTATTGTGGAGGTGGAAGTGTTGCGACGTTAGTAGTGCTCCATGTTTACCCTCCGAACGTGCGTTTTTATTCGGGGCTGATCAAGTCACAGATGAAGCCTACACCAAGGGGCCTACAAGAGAAATGGATCGTGCCAATACTTCGAGAAGTTGCGGAAGCTCTCAGATGGGTCCATGGGGCAGGTATCATTCATAGGGACGTCAAATGTACGCATTCATGGCAAACGCCTCGTCTACTATGCTGATTGTCTCAGGCGCAAATGTACAACTCTGCGACTTTGGCGTTGCAGGTATTGTTCAGACTGCAGCAGATAAGAGATCGACGTTTATAGGAACACCACATTGGATGGCGCCTGAATTATTTGATTCAACGCGAAGCTATGGCAAAGAGGTAGATATCTGGGCGTTCGGATCTATGGTATATGAGATGGCAACGAGTCTTCCTCCAAACGCTGCCAGTGGTATCTCATACGAAATTTTAGGGAATCATTTGAAGGCTAGTATCCCAAGACTTGAATATGGAAACTACTCGACACAACTGCGAAGCCGGGTTGCCAATTGCCTCGAGGAGCTTCCAAGTTCTCGTCCAACGATAGGCGAGATTCAACAGCACCCTTACATAAACGACACCAGCTTGAAGTATCCTACTTCCACACTTCCACAAAGTTCGAGCCTTTAGGTTGTGGGAACAACACGGCGGCAGTAGAAAATCTCTTTTTATGCTCGGTGGTGCTCCAGGATCGTCGGAAATTTTATCGCCGCAAGCCGATGACGAATGGAACTTTGGTACTACTGTTGCGTTCGATCAAAGGTTGCCAGAGAATCTATTTCTCAAGATATTTACAATATGCAAGTGGAGCTTGATACAGTTTTACCTAAGAAATTCCTGGTCCAAATCAGCGTCAGAAAAGCTTTAGACGTCGCCCTCCCCCTGAAGTTCTCGCACCCCTCGGGGCTCCAGTCGACAAGGTTTTCGATCCAAATACAATATCAGACTACGACGTTAATAGTCGAAACCAGTACGGCCGCTTAACGCAGCAACCAATGTCTGACTTGCCACTGCGCGACAATACGGCCCTTTCGATTATCAGAGACACAATGGTCAATCTCGGTAGCAACCATGACTCGGGGATTAAGCTTTTTCCTGATCTAAAAACTATCAAAGCAGGTAGGCGGGGCGACGGAGCAAATGGCTCGCATCTGGCTTAGTCGACTTCAGAGGACCAACGCTCAGTGACCCTATCGATCCCAACGGCCATCGTCATACGCAAGGCTGGAAGTTCCCTTCAATCACGCCATCTTCTTCTGTGGATATGAATCTTTCCCGTTTTCCGAGCTATGAGCCCCTTCCACTAGTCATGACACCCGGATCTAATTACTCTGTGGTTATGGAGCTAACTGGTTATGGAGTCCAGGATGGTCCTGTGCTTTCTTAACAAACCAAGCACCGTCATTCAATAGCATATTCACTGATTGACCTGGACATGGGCTTACCTGATTCCACAACTGAGGTTTCTTGACCATCTACCAGCTGTTCAGATATAGGTTCTCCAACAGGTGAGAAAAAGGCCTCAGGTAACCATTTCAAGCTCGAGGGTAATGCAATTAGTCATGGAATCCAGAATGGCCTTGTATTTTCTACTACTAGAATAAGGGTTGAAGGCCATCTTGGTCAAGAGCGCCATGGCCTTCCTATCCTAAACAATCGATATGGTTCAACGAACTCAGCCCTGACTCCAGGTTTGACACCGCCCTACCTAATGAAGCGAGCGGTGTCTTGTTTAAGCACACAAGAACCAGATCTGCCGGTCTTACCCCAGTTGGGAAAAAGAGAGACATTACTTTTCTAAGGGTACGCGTGAGCGTCCGTCGTGTTGCGATTACCCTGATAATGAATGCTCTTGCGCTTATTGAATATTGTTGTTTTTGCAATTCTTCTTACCCCAACGTCACGTCATTAGTGCCTTTACCTCTCCTCTCCTTTACCCTCAAGTTTCACCCTACCTACAAGGTCCTCATCTGCACCTCCTGTAAATATGCGCTGGTACCGAACACGATTGCAACCCATCTGCGAAATGCGCACAAAGGCCAGCTTACTTCAACAGACATAAAAGATTGCCTTGAAATTGTTGGTGGAATGTGCCCCCAAGCACCTGACCTGGTTCGGGAAGTGGTAATTCCTCCAACTCGCCCACCTATTCCTCACGCCCTGTGCTTAGATGGTATCATGTGTCGGCTGTGCATGTCCCAAGCCTACGTCTGCCGCAACGCGAGGTCAATGAGGGTTCACTTGAGAATGGCGCATGCTTGGACGAGTGGTCAGAAAGGTGGTCGGCCGAGTAAAGCTTCTGAAGCGGCACGTATCGCCTCAGAGACATCTTTCTTTAGGGTTACAACCAGCCCTGTCGCATGTCAGACCTTCTATCGAAGCAACTTCTTTCGATACTTTGTTGTGAAGCCTGTGATGGACACTAGGCTAGCAAGTGCCATCGCCAACTTAGGCGACAATGCGGCGAACTCAATCCCACTTAGACTTGAAGACCAGATCACATTTCAGCTAGCTCGGAAGCTTAACGCCACGGAACCGTCTCTTCCAGGACACGGCCATCATTATACACAGGTCTCCCCATGGTTAGACACTACTCAATGGACCCGCTATACTCAAGGCCATGATCTTCATGAGCAGCTCGTCTAATTCTCCGCCCAGAATGCTATCGACCAGTTGGATCTAGGAGCACCCAAACTGTAGACCCCGCCGACCATCATTTTCTCGTCATTCTAGATCCTTTGACCGTATTATTGAGCAAGCCCGCACTTCACTCAAAGAAGATCGAGTAAATGTATTTGATCAGCATCGAGGCAATGGGTTCTTTCATCGTCGAAGCGCTCACCGCCCACTATTCCTTCGGTTCCGAGCGAGTGTGGGTATTCGCAGACTCGGTATATCCTCGACGGGGGTTTCGTCTGAGAGGTCGGTTTCCCAAGCTTCTCAGGCAGTCGAGTAGAGAATTGAGCCAGCGCAGGCCCTCTCTAGAGACGCAGAGTCTCGATAATTACCAACAAGAGTCGATGGCGGGGTATTCGCCGCGACAATGTCGAGTCTATGAGGTTGTGATATACTTTGGCGTACAGTCGGCAGGCTGAGCGATGATGATGATGCTAATAATAGAGAAGGGTTCTTGCGGCGGAGGGAGGCGGCGTGTTCTCGTGCAGAGGATGGCCACGAATTTGTGGTTCCGTCTCCTCACTGCTTTTACCAGGGTAGGTCCCTGTATCTCGTGGATGGTAAAGTTCGCGTCAGCTCCCTTATCTAGGAACAGGTTGACGAGATCGAGCTTGTTGTGTTCTACGTGGTGTAACTGGGATTTCATCTAGGAAAAGCGGTATGATGTCTGCATTGGGTATTTGCCTGAATTCAAGAACCGAGACGTTTAGGTTCATACCGTATCCAAGAATTTGCGAGACTGCGCTGGGCGATACACTCATGAATCTTTTCCCCCAAAAAACATCAAGCCTTCGGAAATTGTAGGCGTTAGAATCAGCTGGGTCTGTGCAGTATCACGGTACGGTCTTGCTATCGTTTTGACGTGAATTAACCACCCGCGGTGGTTCAGACAATTAAGGATAGGATAGGCCAGCTTACTCCGACAGAAATAAAAGTCTTAAGATAATCTGAACTTGATCTAATTTTGTGAAACTTGATGCACTAACGCCTATTAGATACAGCGTGAGTATTGTGGAATTCTCACTCTGTGCCCGGCATAGGGATGGCTCTTTGGATATGAAAATATAAACTATAAAATTGCTTTCGTGCCTCGGTTATATATCATGCCGCAATGAGAATGGTTACTGGAGGGCGTTGCAGTGTCAACAAACGCGAGAAGATGGAACGTTTCCTTATCGACATCGCCGTCGACTAGCGCGCCAATGATATAATCCAACCGCTTTTTTATATCTTCGACATAGCTCCCCACTATCAAACACATAACTCTCGTTAACCACCATAAACAAAATGCCCAAACCAAAACAATTCCTCAAAGATGATAGCAGGAAAAAGAAATCTGCCAAGCATGCTCCACAGGTGCGCCCAACCTCTTGCTAACGATCGCGGATCGTGTGTGACGTCGACCCTAACACGTGACAGGTCCCAGAAACCGCAGATGAGTTCTTAGCGGGTATGATACTTTGATAGACATCTCAGGAATTGCAGCTGATTGTTTAACTAGCTGGAGTTGACCACGAAGAGGCCGGGGAGAAATGGCGTGGTGGGGACGCAGCCAAGTCAACACGATTCTTCGTCAGAGCTATCGACACCTATGAGGCGGGCCTCACGAAGTTTCCGGACTCCTTTGATTTGGCTTATAATAAGTAAGTAACATCATAGTGTTATTGCGTTCAGATTCTGACTTTACTACAGGGCACGTGTACAGTATGAAATCACGCAGCACCCAAAGCTACGAGGGCAGCTCCCAGGCAATCTGCTGGACCTATTGCATGTTGCTCTTGAATCCAGCAGGCGAGCTCTATCATTGAAGCAAGATGACCCTAATGTCATATTGTGAGTCCATTCATCTCCCTTTTCAACTCAGTCATTAACAGAACCCAGCAACACGGCCCAACTCCTCACCTCCCTCGCCGAAGCGCTCGACGACGTAGGTAGCGACGCGGGCTCCCTCGTCCCCCTCCTCGAAGAAGCAGTCGAGCTCTTCCAACGCTGCCTCACCCTCCAAGAATTCCGCTTCTCGGAATCCGAAGCCCTGCGCGACTCCATCAACGCTGACGACGCCCCCGGCTCCCCTCCCGACTCCGACGGCGGCGCACCCCTCACCCCCGCCGCTCAAGCCGCCAGCCTCCAACCATCCGAAGAGCAATGGGCCAGCATCGTCGAACCAACCACCCCCGACACGCTTCTCGACACCATCCTTGCCCTCCTCGAGACCCTCACCGTTCTCGCCAGCAAGCTCGACTCACGCGGCCTCGCCGCCCTGGAGGAGTACACCTCGACACTCCTCACCAAACTGCCCACCTACCTCGCCCCCTCGCCCACCCGCGCCCCGGAATTAGGCCTCACGCGCGCCAACCTTCTATCTGCACTAGCAGAGGCGGGCTTCCGCGCTGGCACCATCGATACCGCGACGTACGAGCGCGCTATCACTGGCGCCTTCCGCGACCTCGACCTAGCTGCTGACCCGAAGGGGTTAACCGACAAAGCAGACGCTATGCTCGCCTTTGCAGCAGCGCTACGCACACAACCCGTGGAAGATGGACAGCAGCAGATAGTTACAAGGTGGGGTGCCCTGACCCAAGCGGGAAGCGCGTTAGGAGCTGCCTCCAAGCTCCCAGGTGCGATGAACCTCGCGCGCATACATCTAGCCAGGGGTGACGCGGAGATGCTGAGGTTCCGGGTGAAGGATGGGACGGGGTACCCGGGGAACGTGGATGCGGGGGTGCTGGTGAAGAATGCGGGGGTGTTTTATAGGGGGGCGGCGAGGCAGGCGCTTGTGGATGGTTTGGAGGGGGTTGGGAGGGAGGGGAGGCTTAAGGGGGCCCTTGCGGCGGCTGTTGGGGGGGAGAGTGAGGCGCTGAGGGAGATGGTGGGGTCGGAGACGGGGATGGTGATTGAGGTTTTGTGGGGGGCGGTGAGTGATGGGTTGGTGGAGATGGAGTGGTTACAGCGGGAGAAGATTGTGTGAGTTAGCTTGTAATGTGTTTATATCAAAACACACTTGTTGACTAGATGAATTCCCCCTCATCTCAGTTTACTCATGACAGCCGCATCACGGCTACCGTTCAAAGGCTCGCCCTGCAACCAGACCGGCAAGATAGCCCAGTGACTCAATACCTCGCAATGTAGAGGTGTTCGTCCGGCTTGGTATTTGTGGTGCTGATTGACAATATTATATCCTTATCAGTGTCTGACAGGAGAGTGTTCCGTCTCGTCTGTCACAGTTTACAATGAATCGAGTTCTGTGTAGTGTACAACCACATGTTATATGTAGTAATCCAGTTTAGTTTCGTTTGTTATCGTTGTGCACTGTTCTACACTACTCGGTGTTCCACCCACGCGCTTCGCTCGTAGGTGGCGACAGCAAGTTGTGCGTGCGACAGCAAGATGTGCGTACACCGCTACTTTGATATAACGTGGTTGTACACCGAGTCGATCATGACACCGAGTCGATCATTACACCGAGTCGATCATCATGACACCGAGTCGATCACTTTTCCCCACCCCACTACCTTTTGACTTTAACACGCGTTTTCTCCACAACCACAAATGGAATTTCAAACCCAAGAAGCTCGAATCGTTCTAGCTATCGAAGCTATTCGTTCATTAAAAAAACTTAGTCGTCGCTCTGCTGCCAAAATCTACAAAGCCCCGTACGCGACACTACCTAATAGAGTGGCCGGCCGAACCCCGCAGCTACCCAGAGTCTACTCCCTAGAATGAGAGACGAGAAGGCATCCTTACAAATATCCATGATATCCAATGTTATCCATCACCTGATATTCCATGGATCCCTGTGGATAACATGGATAACATAATATCCAAGATATCCAATGTTATCCATCACATGACATTCTGTGGATCGCCGTGGATAACATGGATAACATAATATCCATGATATCCAATGTTATCCATCACGTGAGGTTGCAGCCGTAAGCGCTAGCCATAGCACTAGCACTTAGCCGTAACACTATGGAGCATATGGCACTAGATGATACTCACCTCTTATTACTTAACGGCTATGACTCTTATAAAACAGAGCGCTTACTTACATCTGCAGAAGAGCATAACATTGTTATTTGCTACCTTCCTGCTTATACAACACATCTATTACAACCTCTTAATGTAGCAGTTTTTAAGCAGTGCAAACACTTTCATCAAAAGGCACTTAATCAAGCAGTACATAGCTATAACTATGAGTATAAGCTACATATGTTCCTTTTAGACCTCCTGCAAATCTAACGGCAATCTCTAACTATCTGTATAATTCAATCTAGTTGGAGAAATGCAGGACTATATCTATATAACCCTCTACTTGTAATTAACAAGATACAAGAGACTCGGAATCAGACACCTGATTATAAGCCATTTGCTTCATATAATATTATCTTAACACCAAAAATAACTATGCAAAGTGTGTAAGCGGTTGAACATTACAGAAGAGAGTAGAGGAAGCTTTCTCATCGCCTTTAAGAGAAGGGTTTCAATCATTTGCACGTGGAACTACAGTTGTTCTACACTAAGCAGAGCTCTATAAGACTAAGCTAAATATTATTACTTTACATGTAGTAGAGCAGCAGGCAGCAAAGGCAAGAGCATGGAAATCACTACAAAAAGGAGGGCAGTTATATGAATTAGATGCATGGAAAATGCAGGAAGAGAAGGAAGCAAAGTTGCAAGCAAAAGCAGACGTAAGAGCAGCAAGGGAATCGGACTAAGTAGTAAAGCAGCTACTAGAGCAAGCACGTAAAATCGAAATTGAAGAGCGTAAGGAAGGGTTGAAATCAAAAGTGATAATTTTACGGTATAGTAAGGATCAAAGTGATAGTAGTAGCGATAGTGGCAGTAGCGATAGTGATAGTAGTTCTCTTGATTTTATGTTTTAATTATATAGTTATATAGTTGCTATATAAGGCGTATTTTTCTTCGGTTTTATCTGTCGCACATCTTGCTGTCGTACGAACAACTTGCTGTCGCCACCTACGACCGAAGCGAATGGGTGGGACACCGAGTACTTTGTATGGTGGACAACACCCAAGCACCTGCAGTGGACAGGCACCCCTAACCCCTACCAGCCCCTAACAACCCCTAACAACCCCTAACAACCCCTAACAACTCTACCAATCACCTCCATCTACAACTGAACCAAATCTAACCACTCCCGGCCAACACCCCCACAAACCGCCGACGGGACGACGCTTGATCCGTTTCACGGCTATCGAAGACCTGACACTACTCCTCGCCTTCTTCCAAATAGCAAAATCCCACGATACATTCATCGCATCATTGCAGATATACAAATACAACATCTACCACTACTCTACACCGCCAGTAAACCGCAGATACCCCGTCTCTTCCGGGCGGAATCGAGCGACACACCAACCATCCCCAGCACCGTAACTAGTCCGATAGCCCATACGCTCCTTCCACCACAACAAAAATCACAACCTCCCCCAACATCCCCAACGCCCATCCAAACCACCACGATGGGCCGCTCTCTCGACTCCTCCCGCCCAATCATGGCCCCAAGTCTCGTATGTCAACCCTCAACACCACCCCCCCCCCGCCTGTCGCATCAAGCTGACTCACGCCCCCCGTAGCTCTCCCCAAAACGCGCCTCCATGCGCTACAGCACCTACACCACCCCCGCCCCATCCATGCACTCCTTCAGCTCCGACACCGTGCAGGCCGAGATTGCGGATATTACCGCGGGCCTAGCTAAGCTCGAGAACAAGAAGCTCGCGTCCCAGCGTTTCGTGCCCAGCAAGGAGAAGTCGGAGAACTTGTCTAAGTTGGCGCTGGGGGCGAAGCTGGAGAGGGCTTTGGATCGTAGGATGAAGGGGCAGGATGCGGTGATGCGGAAGAAGGTTGTTAAGAGAGATCTCGAGAAGAGCGCTGTTATGGCTTAGAAGGAGGGTTTTTCGATATGAACGACAAAGGGGAGACAAGAGCGTGATGGGGGCTACGAAGCAACATTTTGGTTACGACAGAGAGGGGAAGAAGAGCACAGTTGAATCTCTGATGTGTTTCTAGGCAAGACCGAAGGAGGAGAAAGAAAGAAAGGGGCCGCTGGTGGGGTGGGAAGCAGAGGGGCGGGGTATGATTGATGTATCAGATATGACTACACCAGGGCATGATCGCAGGCGTTTTTTTATCGCGAAGTTTTTTCGTTATTTCTTAGCAGTTGCGTTGTTTGGACTTATTCCACGTTTTTTAATCGCCTGAGAGAGCAGAGAAGCGGGTGTAGGAGAAGTACTGTAGTAGTCATTAATTGAAATATACCCCATGAGCGTTCTCTTCGTTATTTAATGCTAGTTATGTTGTCCTCAAATATCCATTTTCCAGACGTCAGTTCTAAAATTCTGCCAAGCAATATGCCCTATGTTTACAGTTCGTGGTTCCTGACTCCTCTGTATGTTAACAGTAACTCCTCAAGCCTCCTAGCCGTTGCCATCCATGTCACTCGCTCAAGAACTCTTCGCCTCCTCTTCCGGCTTCCCTCTCCGATCCAGAATCTCATCCACAATCCCCATCTCCAGCGCCTCCCCAGCACTCAAGAACTTATCCCTCTCCATCATCCCCTCAATCTCCTCCAGCGTCCACTCTCCCCCCGCAGCCCCGTCCTTCCGCCTCGTCAAGTGCCGCCTATAAATCTCATTCAGGCTCTTCCGCACCCTCAGTATCTCCGTCGCGTGAATCGCAATATCGCTCGCCTGTCCAAAGTACCCTCCACTCGGCTGGTGGATCATCACGCTGCTATGCGGCAGACAGTATCTGTGTCCCTTCTCTCCACCACACAGCAGCAGTGACCCCATCGACGCCGCCTGCCCCACGCACACCGTATGCACGGGTGAGTGGATGTAAGTCATGGTATCGTAGATCGCGAGGCCGGCCGTGACGGAGCCGCCGGGCGAGTTTATATACAGCGTAATCGGCTTCGCGGGCGCGTCGGATTCGAGGAAGAGGAGTTGCGCCACGATGGACGCGGAAAGGGTGTCGTTCACCTCGCCATTGAGGCAGATGATGCGCTCCTGGAGGAGCTTGGAGAAGATGTCGGCTGTGGGGGTTAGTTGGGCGTGAGCTTCCTACTGTGGCTAGGTTACATACATGTCCGCCATCCGCCGCCCTGGGGTGGTTAGCTAGGTTCTTGGATCGGCGCATTGGCGACTCACTATTGTCTCCGTGATAAATGGGACGGGTGTCCATGCTTGCGGTGCTTGGTGAGAGAGCGACGAGCGGGAGGAATATGGCCTCGCTGCTGTGCGCAGGGCAGAGCGCGCTGTGGCGCGAGCTACTCGTAATGGCAGCATTATGGTGAAGGTTGTGGAGCTGTAACAGCTCGGTGGTGTTGCGTTTAGAAAGTTAACTGCAGCTGGAGCTCGGAGATATGGTCGACGCGGGCAGCGGAATTGGTACGTGCACGGCCAGTACTGAAGCATCCCTCCTCCATATTCACCATACATTTATTAAGGAAGGGACGAGTCACACTACGTTCCGTCGCTCCTTCTTCAACGGCGTGCTTTCCATTTTCCAGTCGCTCCTTCCCTCCATTGCCGCCATGTCCAGGCTTTCCCCCGCCCTCAAGGCGGCAATCAATGCGCCTTTCGCCCGCTCTGGGGCCCTCCCCGCCCCAGAGAATATCACTGCCATTTACTCGGACATACAGCGCGAGGCCACCTCTAACTCTCTCGGTGTCCTCCCATGGCTTGCCCTTACTGTGCGCCTTTCTGCCTCTCCTGTGTATATAGCCGCTAACATCTCGCAGACGGCCGCGACCATGACCGTCAACTCTCCGGCGTCTCTAACCCTCCTCCACAACCTCGCCTCTCCCAACCCAGACTCCTCCGTCCAAAACGCAGCTTTCATGCGCGAAGTCGGGCTTAAGACGATCAGCTTCAACGGCATCCCCCGCGCCCTCAACCAGCTCGTACACCTCCGGGCTACGATCCCTACAGAAACCGCCGACCAGCTTCCCACGACACCGACACGGTAACATACCCAATCAGCCCTACTTAGGATAAATGGCTAACAACAGGCGACATAGTACTCTCACACCAGAATCCCTTGAACACGTAGAGACGAGAGCGAAGGGGCTGTGGAACTCGATATACGACCCACACTCCAGGAAGCTTGTGGCCAAGCTCAAGGCCGCACACCCCGACCTACCCGTGCACATCCTAAGCAATCACTACGGCTCGCTTCTGAGTGATTTCCCAGGGGTACATAATCCCGCCGTGGGAAGAGTGCTAACCTCACTCGTGGCCATCGCGTGTCTACGCGCCCAGACGGGCGTGGGCCCTCAGGTTGTGTCGCATGTCTATGGCCTGAGGAAGGGCATCAGCGAGGGCGGCGAGGAAGTGGGAGAGGGCGAGAAGTGGCTTGGTGGGGATGAGGGAAATCTGTGGGCGCTAGGGGCTGTAGATCGTATTGTGGAGGCGATAGCAGGTGAAGGGGGCTCATTTGCCAGTTGACGATGCGCGACGTTGCCTCCTCGAGATGCCAATACAGCTCGAGGATTGGACCAACGTCATAACGACTGCATGGGCAGCAATTCCGGCCTAGGGCGCAAGCCCGTGACCAACAGCTCGAACAGCTCGAACAGCTCTGTTCGGCATTTTACTACAAGCACGAGACGACTTACGTCGCAGCAAGACCAAACCCAACCTCAGCAGCAAAGCCCTGAACAATCTCTTTCGTTTCTTACCCCTCGCCAACTCGCCAAATTTCCCCTATCCCCTCTCATGGCTCCAATCGTCACCTCTTTTACCGCTCGCCTCGAACCCAAGCTCCCAGCACCCCTGAATCCAACTCCCTTCCAGAAACGCCTCCTCCGCAACCCCTACGCCATCGCCCTCTCCAAGCCTGTCCGCTCGTGCGTACTGACGCGCACCTGGATCCCACGCTCCTTCCTGCAGCCCTTCGAGCTTGTCCCCCGTCCCGACACGGACGAACTGTGGTATCTCCCTCGCGACCTCAGCGCGCGCGTGCCGAGGGATGAAAGGGACGAGACGGAGACTACTAAGCGTGTTCGGCCGGGACGACGGAACTATGTGCTCGCTAACAAGGAGCTGCTCGAGGCGGTTAATAAAAAGCGTAGTGGGTTGACGGGGTCATGGGCGCGATTTGTGTATCCGACTGTGGGGCCTGGGGCGAAGTTGAGGTGGCGAGCTGATATGGATGAGTTTGTGTGCAAGATGATGAGGAAAAAGGTTGAGGAGGAGCTTGTGGCGCTGATGAAGTGGAATAAGGGACAACTTTCGCATGCGAAAACGTGGGATGCCGTGTTGAACAAGAATCAGATGGGCGCTTTGCTATGGCTGGGCCCGTACAAGGAGGGGATGGATGCACCTGAGCCGCGGGTGGAGGGCGAGGCGGAGGAGAACTTACCTCAATCTCCTTCGGCTTCCTCGCCGATCACAGATGAGAATGGTCCTGGACCCTTCGCGACGATTTCTTACCCACCATACTGGAAGAAGAAACTCCCGCTGCACAACCTTGTTATGCTGCTTGGCCAAGAGGGTGTCGACAGTTTGAGAGCCCAGTTCCCAAACATCATGTGCCACGAGTTTGTCGTGGTCAAGGATAAGCAACAGACGGTCTCGGTGAGGCAGTGGCTTTGGAAGCTACAGCAGTTTTTGTCTAAGTTAGAAGACAGTTAGAAGTTTGTATACATACAGTACTGATAATACCCAATTGGCATATTGTGGGAGTAAGGGGAAAGGGCTACGGAGGACCTTGGTGGATGGACCTGAGAATGTAAATGTATATGTATCATATAAAGAAGAAATATCCTCAGCTGTTCGCAATTATGCGGTCTGTAACTCAATAAACTAATAAACCATCAATATATAACTGGAAATTCTACAATTACACAACCAGTTATCCCTTTCCATTAATGTTACACTATATCACATGAAAATCGAAGTTGCCAAGACAATGTCGTCAGTCCGTACCTACCCATGTTCCAATCCAACTCCACCTCTCGACGTCCGACATGCACCTCTTCAAGCAACTCGCCCAATAATCTCACTGACCAAATATCCAATCGAATCCATATCTCCCAAGCATAACCCTCCAACCTCACGATCTTCACCATGGCCGACGCCAACGCCAACGCCAAGGTCAAAATCGAAGAGCTCACCTTCAAGCTCCAAGACGACCACCCTGTCTACATGAAGAAGTGGACTCCAGCCACCTCGGCTCCTCTCGCAAAGCTCGTCTTCATCCACGGCTACGACGACCACATCAACCGCTACTTCGAGCTCTTCCCCACCCTTGCCTCCCGCGGCATCGCCGTCACAGCCTGGGACCAGCGCGGCTGGGGCCGCACCGTGCAACACACCTCTGACCGCGGCCTCACCGGCCCTACAACCCTCGTCATCGCTGACATCGCGCATGTCGTCAAATCCGAACTCGTGGATGCTGAGGCCGCGTCGATCCCTCTGTTTGTGATGGGCCACTCCATGGGCGGCGCCGAGGCGCTGACCTTCGCGTCTGAGCCGTCGTATGCGGACCTCGCGCCGCGCATCCGCGGGTGGTTGCTTGAGAGCCCGCATATCGAGATGGCGCCTGGTAGCCAGCCATCGTCGCTCAAGATCATGGCAGGGCGGCTTGCGGGGAGACTACTGCCGAAATTCCAGCTGAAGAATAAGCTCCCAGCTAAGGAGCTGACGCGTGATCCGGAGGTGATGAAGAGTCTCACGGAGGATCCGCTACTGTGGTCTACGGGGACGTTGGAGGGGCTTGCGGGACTACTGGACCGGGCGGCCGATTTGTCGGCGGGGAAGAGGACGTTGAATCCTGGTGTTAAGAGCTTGTGGCTTGCTCACGGGACGATTGATGGTGGGACTAGCTACCTGGCTAGCAAGAAGTGGTTTGAGTCGTCCACTAGCAATGTGCCGGACAAGGAGCACAAGACTTATGAGGGGTGGCAGCATCAGCTGCATGCGGATTTGCCGGAGACGAGGCCGGTGTTTGCAAAGGATGTTGGGGATTGGATTTTGGCTAGGGTGGAGGCGCTAAAGAACACTGCGGAGCCGCAGGCTGCTGCTGAAGCTGCTGTGGAGGAGAGTAGTGCTGCGGCACCTGCTGCTGCAGAGACTACAGAGGGTAGCGCGAAGGGGGCTGCGAGGTTGTAATATACCCATACGTTCTTGCTACTTGGTGGGTTGTCGTGTTTAATAGTTATGATTATGAATATGATGTTTTCCTTCCAACCAACTGATAACTCAAGTTTATAGTAGCCCAATCATATGATATATAAGAACCCCTCAACGAAATTAGCAGACAAGCTCCGCTCCCAGATCTCACTACGCCTGGACTGGACGGAAGCATTATATAGTAAATCCGTCATATTTGATACGAGCCTGGTTTTTATTTTTGCTCACAGATCGAGATTTGAGTAACCTTGGTGGCTTGCCAATTTTCTCGGCTCTTTTCCGCGCCGTTCCGCTTTCAGGGACCATTTTGATATCGACCTCCAAGACTGCCAATTGTAACCCATTCGACGGCTTCAAGATGCCAATTGCCTTCATACGCTGTGGCAGTACTATTCACCGCATAGTGGCGAGGAGCGCGTACTCACCATGCGCTGCCCTCTCTTATAGCAGCTATGTCTTTCAAGGTTCGCCCCCCATCCCCTCTGAAATTTCCATTTCTTCATCCACCGCACCCCACTACCTTCTCTACCCTCCACTGACACGCCTCTAGAGAATGACATTGTCCTCGTTCAGAAAAAAACCGACCCCTCTGCCAAGCAGATCCTCTCCAAGCCCCTACGGCCGGGGAAGATCGTGAACACCAGCACCGGCCACATCGATCATGAATCCATTATCGGGCTATCTCCGCGCGCGATCGTCTCGACGGCGACCGGGAAGGGGGAATACAGGGTATATAGACCTACGTTGGGAGAGTATACAAATTTGACGGCACGGATTGTCACGCCTGTAAGTGTCCCTCTGGCCGCATCTACAGCCTCATACAACAAGGTCAACACGCAAAAGGGCTGGCAGCTAACACGAGTAAACAGGTCTATCCCGCAGACGCAAACCTAATCATCTCCCTCCTCGACCTCAACCCCACCGTCCCCGACCCTTCCTCCCCATCCCCCTCCCCCCCGCTCGAAATCTTCGAAGCCGGCACTGGCCATGGTGCACTAACCCTCCACCTCGCGCGCGCCATCCACGCAGCCAATCCAGCCCCTCCTCCCATTCCCTCCCGCGCGCGTCCCGTCCCAGCCCCAGACTCTGAGGAAAGCACCTCCGACGCAGTAGACGCCGAGCACCAAGCCGCAGTCGAGAAATGGGAAGCCTACAAACCCACCCGCCGCGCCGTGGTGACCACCTTCGACGTCAGCGCCCGCCACAGCGCACACGCCCAGACCGTCGTCGCCGGCTGGCGGAAGGGGATGTACGAGCACTCCGTCGATTTCCACGTCGGTTCCATCTCGGAATACATCTCATCACGTCTTGCCACCTCGCTGGAACCCTTCCTCGACCACACGATCCTCGATCTGCCGGACTGCCATCTGTATCTTGAGACTATCTCGCGGGCGCTGAAGGAAGATGGCACGGTGTTGGTGTTTTGTCCCAGTATCACGCAGATTATTGCGTGTGTGAAGCAGGCGAAGAAGGAAGGTTTGCCATTAGTGCTGGAGACGACGTTGGAGATTGGGCAGGCAGCTGGAGTGGGGGGGAGGGTGTGGGATGTTAGGGCTGTGAGGGCTAGGTCGTTTGTTAGGGCTGAGGCGGCGGAGGCGGAGAAGGTGGAGAGTGCCGAGGGTGTCGAGAGCGGGACGGAGGGTAGTGGAGCAGAGGCAGTTGCTGAAACCACACCGAAAGAAGCTGAGCATCTTAAACCGGAGGGTGATGGGTGGAATATGGTCTGTCGTCCCAAAGTGGGAGACAGGGTTGTGGGAGGCGGGTTCGTGGGCGTTTTCAGACGCGTTGTCAAGTAAGGTCGTACAATTGTATGTCTTGGCTGTGGGAATAAGTGTATCATAGTTCTGTATACTAGGGCGTCTAACTGTATCTGGGGTTGTAAAGCCCTGCCTGCCTGCTTACTGGCTTCAATTCGACATATATTCCAACAGTTCTTGTTCTGCTCCTTCCTTCTCCTGTAGCAACAAGGAAGTAGCCACTGAGCTAAGGTCCAAACTCACCCCCGAGTCCCGCGGTCTGTCTCTCCCCCAACCAAGTTACCCAAGAAGCCATCTCCTCCCCATGCCGGCTTCCCAACTTCCACTCGGTCTATAACAGCTGCTCCCCTCTTCTAGGGGCAAAAGTGGTGACACGATACGCATCTAGGTAATACGAGCAACTAGCCAAAGACGCAGTACATATGTTATATGTAAATACATAGCAAGTCCCTAAATATCAATATCCTTAGGTTAGCATAACTCTTTTAGAAATTAGGGAAGAATCTTGGGAATGGCTAAGGTAACTTGAAGTCTCGGCAGGGGCAAACAACAATATAACGCAAAATCCCTTAAAGAAATTTACTTACCAATCTGTGTTCCCCCTTGGCCCCCGACATATACTATTTCAGACTATTAAGTTAGTGCTATAAATTTTTAAACATATGCTTGTAAAGATGCTCAGATACTCACGTCTCCATGTGTTACTAAACAGAGCAGACGTTAGCTTAATGACACTTACGTTTTCATAGGAGACTCGATAAAAATTCCTTAGAAAACAACGACTCTTGAGCAAGAGAGTTATAAAATAAAGAGACGACCTAGGAAATATGTCAGTGCTTATCTAAACGTACCCATTTGGCTTCCCTATCAAATTTTTCCAGTTTATAGAAGTTGAACACGGATTTTTTACTACCCATTCTGTTCCTGCTTTTGCTTCGCCTCGGACAAACCACTGCCCAGTGTAGCAGAGCTGTTGACTAGGAACCTCCATTTCCCAACTAGTTAATAACCTTTTCCCCCTCGGCGCCGGACCTTTATATTGACGTATTAACCGGCATGTTGTCAGACTTGGCTCTGTAAATTTGTATTTGGGGTATGGGTCGGGTTTATGACACCGTGCAGCTGCCTTGGTATTAAGTTTGAAGCAGAAGAGCAGAAGATTCGGAAAGTCTTGGGGGTTTGAGAGAGGGGAAGGACCCGTTCATCTCCATATATTCATTTTTAACGGTGTTAAGAACCATATATATATCGATAGTAGTTCTGTGGAAACATTGTATGGACCCCTGTTCCTCCTCTGGATTTCCCACAACCACACACGTCATGAACTCAGCCGATGCACAATTCAGTCTAGCGACAAGCAATCACCAAGCCATTATTCCATTACAGACCTCAAATAACTCAATCACCATTCTCTTCTCAATCCTCAAGCTAATCGGCCCCATTCGCACCCTCCCCAACCGCCCCCTCCTTCCCCCCCCGTCACCCCCCCCCAACACTAACCGTAGACAACTGACTCCCAAACACCCTCTTCACCTCCAACTTCTCCACCTCCACCCCCTCCAAATACCTAACATTAAGCACCCAAACCCCCGTGCCCAACCTCGGTCTCCGAAACCCCCGTGACAAATTCAGGCCTTCGTGGAGCATGACTAGTGTCTTTAGCCCAGCTCTGTTGAAGACAAGACCATGGTTTGCTCCTAGCAGGCGATCAAGGAGTTCGGCAATGGGATATGCCACTGGAAATAGTCCATACATCACCCATAGCACATATCTGCATACCAGTCAGAAGGCTCCTAGGATGAAGAATGAATGGACCTACCTCGATGAACAGGCTCCAATAGTTAATCCGTACTTGGCACATATACTCTGGGGGATGATCTCTCCAAAAATCATAATCAGTACTGAGGAAGCTAGAACAGCAAACAATCCACCCTTTATGTCACGATCCAGGACAATTGGTAAAGTTTCATTCGCGATGACATTTCCTAACAAAAGAGAAACCAAAACCCAATGTCTTCCACGTTGAAGGATGTCCAAGACTTTCTGAGCATTCTGTCTCTCCTTTCCGGTTCCAGATTTCGCAATGGCTTGGAGATAGACTTTATCTTGACTCATGAATCTGGCAGTGGATTAGAGGTGATTCAGACTGTTAAGGTAAAATACTTACGCCAGCGTCAAGCCAGCAAATAACCCTCCCAACAGTACCAGAGCGATTGAAAGTCCTCCATTAAGAAAGTACTTCAGAGCCTCGGACGTCGCAATCCCATCTTGCGCCATAGTTTGGTTTACAAAATCTTTGACCAAAAGCCTATACATAATACCAGTTTCTTGGAGAAGTAATAGCCACAGACACAAAAGCAGAACTGAAGCTCACTTCATGGCATCCGCTTCAAGTGGCATTTGATAGCTCTACGGTATCAGAGAGAAACACACGACAATCGAAGTACTTTCAAAATTTCGTCCCGTCCTCCTTCGAACCTGTCAACGGACGCTATCTCTCAATTGTCATGTGTCAAATGTAGATGGAGATAATAGCAATCATGGACGTGAAGTGTAAAAAATCCCTCAAATGCTCATTTCTTGGCGCGTGCACCGATAATGATCACAAAACCACTCAAAAATTAGCATCGCTATGAGGGATTTTACTGTCTAATTGCCGAGATTGCGAGCATTTTAAAACGGTATAGGCGCTTATCTGGGAAATTATGCCTAGAAGAGACACAAATCCAACACACGAGAAACAGCACTTGTCCCCTGAAGACGTTCAGGCTCCTCCACCACCTCATCCCTACCACCTCGTTATCCCTATCTCACCCAAATATACGGCGTTCATCTCAGGACCGTGATACTTCAAGCCAGGAAATTGGGAGCAGTAGAGGCAGATTGCTACTTCAAGCAGCTCGTTCGCGGCATAGCATGATTTCACTGCGTCGGGATAGTACATCGAGATCTCAGGTCTGACAATCTCCTATTAATAGTCAGTGATTACTAAAGATTGGGAATTTTAGTCTCGCAAAATGCTTTAGGAAAGCTGCAGAAGGCAAGGTTGAGTGAAGAGGAGCAGCAAGAGGAGTAGGTGTGTCCAGTGCATTGCGTTCAAGGTATTTGTCGACGCATAATCAATTCCAGGGACGTTGATATGTGGGCGATCGGTGCCATATGAGAAAGGCAAGCTGCTTTGGGATTTTGTTGCTGAGGGCGCAGATGAGTGTTATAAACGGTATTTACTGGAGCACACAGGTCTTTGGAACTTGGGTAATCTGAGTCCTTCAACGGCCTTCAGTGGTACAGGGGTTAACTGCTTTCAATTTTGTCGATGGGTCATACATTCATTACTGGATCCCTGTCCTGAGAATAGGCTTACAACTTTGCGGGTGTTAAAGTTGAATAATCTGGCGAGATAGAACTGTGCGAGGCTGCCTTGAGTGAAAGATTACGCCAGGCGTAACCAGTTTGGCTTGGTTGGAGCCTAAACTGGAATTCAAGTGACGCAAAGGGAGACCAAAGCCAGAGCCGGGTGCTACGGAAATATAGAAGATGAATCCAATTCAAGATCGAAGCTATTTTAAAGGGAAAATGTCCATTCCGTAAGAGGGGAACGCTACTGTAGATTTGAGGCGTTGGAAGAGCTGAGCCCTAGAAAAGAGTGCCAAATTTACCAACTCAAGAACTTGAAACCAAGAGCACAGCCAAAATCAATATTACATCTCTCAGATGCCTTCCCACTCCGCCCCAACAACCTTCCTTGTCCTTTGATTCCCTAAATACAAATCTGCAAACGCAAACACAGCGATCAACATAACGAATCCCAACAGCAGCTCAGGCATCATCCCTTTGTGTGGCAGCTCTCTTTGGAAATCAGCTTCGATGGGCCTCTGCCTCCGAAAACTCGGAGGCTCGCCGAGGTGCGAGCTGGTAATCTGTTTCCAACTGGGCGGCTTCAAGGCTGATGTTGAAAGTGGCCGCGAGGTAGGAGGCGTAGCGGTTGCGGTAGGCGGCAGTTATTTGGGCTGTGGATTTGGAGAGACGGTCTGATGAGGAGCAATACACTTCCGTTATTAGATTAAATGGACAGAGGCATTCCCAGTGAGGCATATATTACCTGGAGTGACTTGGAGGGCGACAGAAGGTTGGACTTTGGGGGATCATACAACGGATCAACTAGCGGCCTTACAATGCGTATATTCATCCGCGGGTCCTTCAGCTGCTCCAAGGTATACAGGTCATCTAGTAAGGCGTCCGTGTCAGCATCACTGTATCTTTGAACCCTATGTAAATCCACTCACCAATGTTAGCATTGCCTCTTCATCTCCTAGCGATATCTCCTCTGCCTCATACGACCGCACCTCGCTGAGGCTTCGGTAAGAGCCAGGGCGTTCCATTGCAGTGTATCAGGCAGTGTTGACGCTGAAATACGCTTCAGCGCATTGCATCTGTTCAGGACTGTGTGTGTGGAGATGTTGAAAGCAGAAAAATGGCCGTGGTAGAAGTCGTATGCGTGAATAAGAATCTGCGAGCTTTATCGATAAGTGGCTCTTCAGGACAAATCCCACACACGGGACAGATATAATCCCTCGCCACCATCGTATTAAACCGACACTCGATCAGTCCATGCGTCCTGTCCTCGAGACTCGCCGCGGTGGGCGAGATGGGGTGGAAATCAGCATCGGGGACGCGTTGGATTAGGGCCTCACGACGGACGCAGATGCTGCAGTCGCAGCTGACGATGGAGGGGAGGGTGGAGGTGATGCTGGAGCGGATGTGGCTGCAGTGGCAGGTGCCGCTGTGGGTTTGGGGTGGGGGGGAGGGGGGAGGTGGGGTGGACATGTTGATAGTGATGGAGATGGATTTGATGAAGGTGGTGGGGAGGGTAGATGGTTTTATGTTGATGTGATGTGGAGTTTGGTAGGCGGTATATTGTTGAACAATATCCGTAGGATCCGTGGCAGTAGGTAGAGAATATAAACCGAAAATTACAGTCATGAAGCAGTAGGGCACGAAGTGATAATTTTGTAATGCATGTTCTTATAATTGAAGCTATTCAAACTACTATATATACTGTTACGGGCTACGGGCTCTATTCCTGTGCCTATTCGTGGCTCGGATCCTGAAACCCTCCTGGTTTCGGTCCGTTCCCTAGAGCTTCGGAATCGTAGCTTTTAGGATCGGAAGATCCAGTATTCGGAGGATCACGAAACTGGCTGACACAGCTTCGGTATCAGGGCCTCATGAAGTGAGTCGTGAAGTAAGCACACACTGCGGGAAATAGGTAAGCTTTGAGGCTCTATCAGCCGCCAGATCACCCAGAATCCTCAACAAAGAAATCACGGAAGTGTGGCACAACTCACGTTACCGACACCGAGGGGAGTATCGCCACGCCTATGCCCGTGGCAAGCCCGCCCTGTCACCGCCGCTCTCTTCTCATCACCACTGCTTTCTTCTCCGCAACAGTCTCGTCATCGTCAGCCTCTGCCATCATAAACGTGAGAGATCTCCTTCAGCTTCTTCATAACTACCCTTCGCCTTTGCTATGTTACCCTGACCCTGTACGAGACTTTTCACGCTCGCGATAATTTGTGCCATCCTTCACATGTCTACGTTTGCGAGGGTATGGCTGCCCGCAACTTCACAGGGAAGTAGCGATGGCCGTGCCTTTTTCTCTCCGCTATTACCTTTCATTCTAGGACGGCAAGAGCAGCTCTCATCCGTCCGTTCGTACTTTCCTAGTTTCACAAGACGGTGTATGAGATCTGCGCGCAACTTCACGGGGAAGGAGCGATGACCATGCCTTCCTCTCGCTGCCATTTCCTTACACTCAAGATGGCAGGATCGATAATCCGTCCGTCCGTTCCTTTCTAGATTTAGGATACACAAACACCGTGGGAAATAAGGGGATGTGGCGTGTTTGATCTGGCTATCATCGTTGCCAATCACTCACCGACGCCATACTGAGGTTATCATATTTCCCTCACTATTAATCGCTCAGCGACGGCACACCGAGATCCATAGCCTTTGAGCAGCCTCGCGCCTCATTCTCATGAAGATTAAGCGAAGCCTGGCATCTTAGTGCCTCATCCATGATATCTTCTGGAAGCCTAAAGTCCTCGAACCTCGTCGCCATGGAGCTTGAGTGAAGCCTAACTACTCACTCAGCCTTATCCCCAAGAAGTCTCTCAAAACAACCTTCCTCGAGCCTCAAAGCCTAACTCACTCTCCACTCCCCCCCATGAGCGCTTTTCCAAACCCAATCCACCCAAGCCTCATCCAGTAGCCTTCTCCAATCCCACCTCAAAATAGCCCCATCACACGATCCCTTCTCCCTCCAGCCTCAACCCCAGATGACATCTCACACCCAACCCAGCCCCGCAACGCTGACATCTACGCCTAACCCACTCAAGCCTCATCCAACGATCCCACCTCACGCCTAACCCACTCAGGCCTCATCCCAACACCCCCCTTCCCAAAAGCCAGATCCAGCCTCAACCGACAAGGCTCTAACCCCCCCCCTTTTTTCCCTCCCCAATCCCCAATCCCACAGGGCTCCCCCCCATCCCAAACCACTCCTCCTCGTTACCCAGGCGTTGGAAAAGGGGATCTAGGAATGGCTGCATCCTGCGGCCACCTCGATATTAGCAAAAAGGGGGGGTCTGTTGGCTGCGGACTAGACGTCGGGAGTCGTTGGTGTGTGGGTGCGCACGCACCAGGTTCCTTACGTTCGAGCACGGAATGGGATCGTTTCAGAGGAGGAGGATGGAGGGGAAGCTGCACAGGTGGCGAATTGCGTTTCATGTTTCATGGGCCTGCGCCACTGACGATGTCCGGCACTCGCCACATGTCTTCGGCTGGGCCAGTACTGTACGAGCGCGGGGTTACTTGTCGAGCTGTGGCTTGCGCGTCGTTTCTCCACTGTCTCTCCACAGTCAGCTGTGTTGGTTTGTATGTAGGGAGTATGTCTTCTCTGTAATATCTCTTCTCTCTGTGTATACGAAGACGGGTACGAGCTGACCGAGCTGACCGAGGCCATCGTGAGGATCGTGAGGTCAGTAGTTCTGCGGTAAACCCACCTTCACCCCCTCCCCACAGGTCACGTCGTCCTCTCCTCTGCGGCCAGCTCCATCTCCCAGCGCCGTCACTTCCCGCAATTGGCTATATCGTGAGGCATAACTTACCATCAGCGTAGTCAAGCGTACCTAAATCGGCACCCCTCGACCGACTAGGTAGTCAGTCGAGGGGTGCGGTTTAACCCCGCACCAAACGCATCGAGCACACCACAGACAAGAACAGGAGACACACACACCCACACAAGGTGGTTGGTCTGCACAATGCACAACCTGCACGATCGATGTGACGACCCGCCTCACCATCCCCGCTAATTCGTCCGCGGACAACCCACGCATCGCGGCGCGTAGCGTGTGTGCCACGGTGCCGACCACTGGTAGGACGGCGGGCACGCAGGGTCGGTGGTGGTTCGGCTGCGTGTCACCGGTTCGCTGGGCGGAGGGGGGCGCAGTAGTAGCCGGGTTCTGGGTCGGCGTTGGTGGGATGGATGGGAGGAGAGGGAGGAGAGGGAGGAAGGGAGGAAGGGAGGAAGGGAGGAAGGGAGGAAGGGAGGAAGGGAGGAAGGGAGGAAGGGAGGAAGGGAGGAAGGGAGGAAGGGAGGAAGGGAGGAAGGGAGGAAGGGAGGAAGGGAGGAAGGGAGGAAGGGAGGAAGGGAGGAAGGGAGGAAGGGAGGAAGGGAGGAAGGGAGGAAGGGAGGAAGGGAGGAAGGGAGGAAGGGAGGAAGGGAGGAAGGGAGGAAGGGAGGAAGGGAGGAAGGGAGGAAGGGAGGAAGGGAGGAAGGGAGGAAGGGAGGAAGGGAGGAAGGGAGGAAGGGAGGAAGGGAGGAAGGGAGGAAGGGAGGAAGGGAGGAAGGGAGGAAGGGAGGAAGGGAGGAAGGGAGGAAGGGAGGAAGGGATACGCCTCGCCTTCAACTTCGGCATGGGGGTTGCCATGAGTTTCGACGTCGTTTTGAGGCCGTTTATGGTGGAGAGGCACGAGAGGGCAAGCAGGAGATATAATATCTTCCTCCTTCCGCCCTGAATCCAGCCCCCCGCCTATCATCAATCCTGAGCCCCCACATTCCCTATTCCCATTCCCATTCCCTATTCCCATTCCCATTCCCATTCCCTATTCCCTTCCCTTTCCTCATTCCTCATTCCTCATTCCTCATTTCCTCATTCCCCGTACGGCTCAGCGAACGAACTGCGGCAGGCTCCCGGTTCCCCTCGTGCCTTCCCTTCCCTTCCCTTCCCCCACCCCACACTCCACCAGGGCGCTGCGCTTCACCTTGGTCGCAGCTTTGGCCAAAGAAAGGGTCTACGCAATCTCCCAAGCAATCCCCTCGTCTGCCAGGGCGGTTTCGGACAGCAGCGAGCAGCGCGGAATTGAGGTCGCGAGTCAATTGGCTACTTGCCGCATACAGACCCATATCATCTGGAGATCTAGAGGAACATCATCCGCTGCGATTCGCCTCATTAGACCGGTAGTTGGGTGTCAGTGCAGACATTCTGGAGCCAGTGCCGAGGCCAGTCTAAACCCGTCTAAACTCGAAACTCGTCTAAACCATCTAAACCAGTGGGCGACTGCCTCACCGCCACGTCTGCGTCTTTTCCTGTCAAATACTACGGACTCGATACTATCAAATAACGCGGGGGGGCAGCTCTTGGATGACCCGCTCGAGTCGTCTTGGGACTATCACGACTATCCATCCACATCCACATCCACATCCAAGACCTCACAAACGACCCCGCTGGCCGCATCATCAACCTCGCCGTCATTACCTCACCTACCATCCTCACCCATCCTCACCCATCCTCACCGACCCTCACCCATCCTCACCGACCCTCACCGACCCTCACCGACCCTCATCGACCATCACCGACCCTCACCTACCATCCTCACAACCATCCTCACAACCATAACAACAACAATAACAACATCATCGTTTCCTGCTGGTCCGTTTTTACCCTGCTATACCGCCCCAATTCATCCGCAGCCCGCCAAATCGCCGAAACCACCGTCAACACATTACCACATCACCACATCAAATCACCACATCACAACATCACAACATCACCACATCACCACTCATTACGACGCATTCCCATAGTCAGCTTTATACGGTAATTCCTCATCGCCACCGCCGCCCGTTCTAGCGAAAATCTTCCCGCCTTTCGCCTTCATTCCCGCCTAATCGCTCACTAAGTCTCTCTTCCAATCGGCCATTCGCCCTTCCGATAGCTTACCAAGCACCCTTCCATCGCTCTCCCCGACGGAATCTGTCACTTTACAAACGCCCGCCCTGGCCCGAACCGTTGAGTGACGTTCATTCAGGGACTCGGCCAGTCTGTTTGCCTCCCATATAAGTGCTCACTCTTGCCACTTCATTGACCTTTGTACTCCTTCACTTCAACAACACATCTACACCTACACACGACCATCCCTATAACCACCCATCTCAACTATCTCCATCGACATATACGATACCGCCACCCTTCGATAAGTCTCCCAACCCCTCAAGACCACACCGATCGATACCCCTACCTGCGATGAGATAGCGAAAACAGGCTGCCCGATTCCGAGCACAACTATAATCACACACATTCGATGTCTCTCCCTCTCCCCCCCGATCCCTACAAGGCCCTCGGCGTAGCCAAGGATGCCGCCATCTCAGAGGTCAAGAGCGCCTACAGGAAACTCGTGCTCAAGTGCCATCCGGATAAGGTGCAGGACCCGACCCTGAAGGCCCAGAAGCAGGATGAGTTCCAGAAGGTACAACAGGCCTACGAGCTCCTCACCGATGACACCAAGCGCACCGAATACGATGAGAAGATGAGGATGTTCGTTTTCCGGGATACACTGAGGTCGCAGGCACCCAAGAGCAGTCCGCAGAGCGCGAGATCGTCACCGCAAACCCATAACCCCCCTGTGTTCGATTACGAGGTCAGGACAGCGGAGCCGAGGTTGTCGAGGTTTAAGACTTCAAGGGCGCCATCACCCGTCAGGGTGTATGCGACCGCGAGGCCTGCATCGTTTGAAGATGACCTGCCACCGAGGATGTACGACGTGGGATCGGGACCCAGGTCCGCAAGGAAAGCGGCGAGTTACGAGGACCGGAAGGCGCCCTCAAGGGAAGACGAGAGGCACCAGAGACTCGGCGAGGAGCGTGAGCGCCAGCGCCGAGAGAAGGACCTCAACAAGAAGAACCTGAGCGCGTCGAAGAAGTCGCGCGACAAGGAGCGCAGGAAGGGCGTCGAGGAGAAGACGAGCAGCCGCCGCACACCCTTCATCGTTGACGGGGACCACTCCGACGAATTCCCGTCACCGCGCTCCGAGCGTCGCTCGGGCAAAAGGTCCGACGACAAGATCCGCGTCACCATGAAGGGCGGCGAGACCAACGAGTTTATCGTCACCGAACGTACACGCAAACTCCAACAGACCAACGAGAGTGCCGCGCAGTACATTCTGAAGTCGAAGTCAAAGGGGAAGAGCCCCGAGGCTGAGTTCCGTCCCCCAACCATCCGGCGCTCGGAGACATACCACTCTCCGCCGTACGCCACGCGTTACCCAGTTCCGCCCCCACAAACCTACATCGAGGCCGACTCGGAGGACGATTCCCGCCGCTCCTCTGCCCGCCCTCGCTCTCGCCGACCTTCTGACGCTCTCCCCCCACGCATCCCCCTAGGAAACGAGCCCTACATCATCACCGCTGACCCCTCCTCCCGCAAACCTTCTCTCCAATCTCATTCCTCGGCGCCCCCTCTCGTTGCCGAACCACGCCGCAAGGAACCCCAGCGCGCCCAAACAATACAATCAGACTACACTCGCCGCTCGCCCGCTTTGGCCGTGCCCCCACCACCCCTCCCACGCGCCGCAACCTTCAACGGCGAGAAACCTCGACCCCATCGCGCCCAAACCGAATATTACCCCCCCTCCTCCGACTCCTCCGACTCCGACTCTGACGGTCACGTCCGCTACGCCAGCCCCTCGCGGGCCCCACGCACCAGCCCCCCCATCCAGACTGGCACCCAAAAGCGATACGTCGTGGAAAAGTCTCGCGCAGTTCCTGTCGCCCGCTCCTCTCATCGCAAGGTTCTCCGCGACGACTCCTTTGTATCAGGACGCGACCGCAGCGAAAGCCCCCGCGGCACTCCCTCCCGCGTTCCTGACCGCCCACCCCTCACCCGCTCCAGCACATCGTCTGCCCGAGCTAGCTCATCCGCTCGCGGCAGCTCCCGCGCACCGACCTACTACGCACCCCCCACCGACGACGCGCCGCCGAGATCAAAGCGTGACGTCCCGAGGGGTGTGCAGCAGCAGTCTAGCCCGGGCGGCGGATCGTTCTTTGGCGAGGTCAAGTACGCGCCTGCGTTTCGCCCGGAGGATGTCACTTATGGCGAATATTATCGCCCCGGACAGACCACGGATTACTATCCGCAGTCACGACGGGGAGAAGCTGCTGCTGCGTATGCGTAGGAGCTGGCTTCTTTCCTGGGTCTTCTTCTGCCGAGTCGGGATCTGAGGATCAACGGTGGAGACGGACCTTCGAGTCCACAAAGTGAGAGACCGAGCATTTGATCTCTTTCGCACTTGTTTTTTTTCGATTTCTTCGATTCAAACCCATGTATATCCAACAAATAACGCAGTAACGGCCGAAACCTCTACTACCTTTTATTACTATGTATTGTTTCGCCACTTGTTTTCCTTTTTATTCATTCTAGCATTTTCACGACGAGCAACAGGCAGCAGCGGCGGCACAGCACGACGCAGCATGGCGCAGCACACACACACACGCACTGGGAACGGACACGGGACAGGAGGGATTGGACGGAGAGCCACAGCGTGGCATTTTCTCTCGCTTTGTTTTTGCATTGGATGGACGGATGGGATGGGTGGGTAGGAAGGCGTTTGGATTGGCTTGGGATTGGGATTGGACCAGATCGGTACCCTTCCGTTTGATGAACTTATTAACGGCCGTTTTTTGCGTCGTATTGATGAGTTTTTTCGACTTTTTTTTTGTAGTTAACTCTTTTTTTGCTGTTTAGTGGTGGTGGAGGTGGAGGGGAGGAGATAAGAAGTTGGTGGAGGAAGGAGACAGAGGTGGTTGGTGGCGGGGGTAGAGAGAGAAGTGAGTGGATGTGGACTTGACTTGTCTATTTATCTCTCGAAATTAAATCCATTCTGTAGTAATTTTGGTCCTGATTAAGTTTCGTGAGAACTCGTCCATGTTCGAAATAACCTTGGCTCTGTCTACTACCTCGCCACATACACAGCATCACGCAATCTGTAGTCCCTCGCTCATATTATACTCGAGGTTTATGCTTAATATTTTAGATGTCCCCCCCCCCACCCCCCCCCTTCCCTCCCTTACCATCTTGACATGCCCACCTGCCCTCTCACAGCACATCCCCAAATCCAAATCTACACAACCATCCCTTCAAAACGCTCAATGCAACATCCAATCCTTCCATTCCTTCACCCACTCTACCTCGGCTCCGACCAATCCACCTGCTCCACCAAACTCCCCAACGCAGGCGTAGCATACGAAATCTTCAGCCTCAACCGCAACGGCTAAAACACCCCAATCGTTAGCATAACCCTCAACCAGTAGAAAACAGAAAGGAATAATCAAGACTCACCCCTTTACTCCCCGTAATCCGCATACTCTGCGTCGCCTCCTGCCCCGGCCCCAACTCCCCACTCGTAATCGCATTCAGCGCCAGTTTCTGCGTCTTCGGCACCGCAGCCTGCAGTCCAACGCCGGACTTTCTATCCGTGAACGACGCGTTCGCGAAGCGCGCGGTTACTAGCACCACGCCCTCGGCGTTGCGCTGCACTTGCAGCGTCACGTTGAGGTCGTTCTTGGAGTAGCATGGCAGTACGCCGGCGGGTTGTGGCGATGGCGCCGTTGGGGCGGGAGACATGCTCGAGAACATGTCGGGGGTGTTTTGGACGATGGGTGATGTCGTGCTGGACGCGCCGAAGAGGTTCCTGATGTCGTTGACGTTGCTGCCGGACTTCGCGGACGGCGCAAGCGAGGTAGTCCCGCCGAGGATATCAGCGAGGAGGTCAGTGTTCTGTTGGCCGACCATCGCGGCACCTAGGTCGGCCTGTGGCGCACCGCTATCATCGCCCATGAGGTCGAAAAGCAGGTCCTCGCTGGCGTTCTTCTTGGCGGGCGCGGAGCGGCGGTTAGCAGCAGCCGCGCTCTTCTTGGGCTTCTTGGTAGCCTCGCCGAGCACGCGCGATTCCTCCTTGATCTGCGGCGGAGGCATCTTCTCGAGCACGCCGCGACGGATAGCGTCGTGCGCGAAGAGGTTGCCGTACTCGACTGCGCGTTGCTGGACTTCGACGTCGAGACTGCGCGAGTGGCCCGCGAGGATGCGGCGGATCCTGTCGATCTGGGCGGCCTCGGTGAAGCGCGTTGAGAGCTTCATGAGGGCCGTGATGATGTATTCGTTTGCGGATTGGGTGGCGTAGCTGCTGTTGAGGATGGTCGAGAAGAGGTCGATCACCTCGCCCTCCTTGACTTCCTGGACTAGCTCGGCTTCCTCGTAGTTGTCGCCCTTCAGAAGGAGATCGGCGAACTCGCCAATGCACCATGCTCCTCCTAATGTGAGGCCCTCTTGGGTGATGTCTTTCCTTAGCGCAGTGTATAGTTTTTGCACAACGTATTGCTGTAGGTCTGGAGTTGTAGCAACGAGTCGGATGAACGAGGACAAAATCTGCTCCTTGACGTAGCTTCCAGCGAGCGAGAGAACACGAAGCATCGTATCCACGTGCCACCTCTTCGATGGCGAGAACCTATCTGCGGCGATACCAATCTGGCTAGTCATGATCGGCTTAAACTCATTGTCTGCAACCTCCAAGAAAGCGAGTAGTTCCCTAATGAGCACCCTGACGTTACTCTCGTTGATAAGCGTGAAACTCAAATCGAGAGCTCGCCTTCTAATACTAATATCGGGATCACGCAAGCACTCCAAAATGGTGTTGCGATGTCTTTGGACGGCGTTGGGCTCGATCGCCACGACTTTAATAAGAGTATTGAGTGCCACATAACGGATGTTGTTGTCCCTATTCGCCAAAAACTTTCCGAGGATATTAACACCAAGGACGCGAAGTCCTGAGTCGGCCTCGATATCGAGAATAGTTAAAACGGCTTCATAAAGGATAGAGTTTCCAACGTTCTTTGTAGAATCTGTGTTGGTTGCGACTTGTGCCAGGATGTCGTTGATATGCTCGCTCGTCTGCACATCGCCGTGTCCCAGAACCCTCAGGAGCTGTAGAATCTTAACTTGTAGGAAGGGGTCGGTGATGCCTGTAACGTCGTGCTCAGGGGAATATCCAGAGCTGGCCAGTCCTTTCAAAGTCCGTACCAGTTGTCCACTGAGCGGTCGGAACTTCTCAACGATTCCCTCCTCACCGCCCTCGGCCTCATCAGCCTCGCAAAGGCTGGTAACCAAGGTCAAGCCACACAGCAACACGCCATGGTTGCGGTCTGAAAGGAGGTTGGCAGCTTTATCAACGAAATTCTCTTGTAAATCGGGGACCTTTCGGCAAATCCGCATTGCGCATAGGGCCGCTTTCCTCCGAATGTATGGGTTCGCTGTTGAAATGAGGGTCTCGATCTCGGGGAATAAATCTCTTGACATCTCAACTGACGCAATATTTCCGAGGGTGCACAGAGCCAGCCCAACAACGTATTGGTTCGAGTGGTTCAGGTCGTTCTTCAAGGAGTTTGTGACGAGCGTCAGAACCTCCTGGTTCTCATCCAAAAGCAGCATCGTTCCTAGGTATCCCAATCGTTTGTCCGCGAATCGAGGGGAGGCCAGCAGCTTGAGGCATTCGATCTGTCCGAAATGTGTCCGCTCGCCGAGGGTAAAGAGGTATAATAATTTGGCTACATTGTTCCTTCTGTACGATGATTTGAGTCAGCTCTCGTCCCTATGGAGGCTCATCAAGAGCAACGAACCGAACATTGTGGTCTCCGCTTTCCTCCCTGAAGCTCGCGCGGATAGCTGCACTCTCCTTCTGAACCACGGCACGCTCGTCGGCGATTGTTTTCGACGCGCGAACATTCCGAATGAACTGCTTCACTAGGTACTTGTCAGCTTCAACCTCAGAGCGAGGGGCAACTCGTTGCCTACAAGAACTCATCCTGGCTTGTGAAGACCCCGGTCTGGGGCGTAAGTCAGTTCTCCTCTAGCAGATAAGGTCCGGGTCGTCTTCGCCGTGTTGATTAAACTATCATTTGTAAATAGAAAGGCCGTAAAGTGCGTAGAAAGTGAAGTTTCCCCAGGCGATCATAGGGAGCAACACCTTTCGCTTGTGGGGGATGGACCACAGCGAAACATTGGGGTTGCATACTAAAGCAGCCAATTGGTGAGGCTCGGAGGTTGTGGCTCAACAATGCCGATGCGCCACATACTCCACTAAGAGGAATATTCGCTCACCACCCCCATCTATCAGCTATAACAGCTGTTCTATTCTTCTTCATTCAACTATCTGTCTTCACATGGACCATTGATTCTTCCTTCCCAACACAATTATCGGTCAAGCTCGTCATAAACACGCTGCTTACTATACCGTACGTTACGGTTGAGGGGCGGCAAAAGTATTTGATGATTTGGCCATTCCACTGTGGCTAGAGACAGGACGCGCTATTTAACAAGCACCTCTCTTTGTATCATAAAATGGCTTCCACGGCCAGAGCACATATCAATGGAGACCACGAAAGCACTGTGCGGCCTCGACTGGGCAAGCCGGCCAATCCGCAGGTCTTACGCATAAAAAGTACAGAATCCATGACAATGGAGACCGCGGAGACAGGCTCAATCTCTTCACACACAAGGTAACTTTCGCTCCGAGGAAACCATGCCCAGGTGCTCATTTGTCCACAGTGGTCGTTCCACGCCCGTTCCGTCAGATGCCCCTCCCTCCGTCCAGGTCGTATCGAGCACACGAAAACAAGCCAGAGCAGACGTCCGCCGGCGCCTCTTCCCAACCATAGAGTATGCATCCAGAGTGTCACATTTCGACCCCGACAGCGATTATCGAGATTTCCAAGGATTCTTTGTCCTGTTTTGGATTGGCCTGGCAATCATGGCCATTACCACTATGGCGAGAAACATGAAGGATACTGGCAATCCTTTCAGACACGAAATATGGCAGCTGTTCACAATTAAGACGTGGGAATTGGCGGTTGCGGACTTTTTCATGTCCGCAACTATGTGCATGTCGCTACCGCTACACCGTCTGTTCCGGAGCTTCGACATACTTAGGTGGAAGAATACCGGAATTATCATCCAGAGCCTGTTCGAAGCTGCATGGTTCTCGATATGGATTGCCGTGCCTTTTCACTTCGAGTGGACGTGGACTGCTCAGGTTTTCCTTGTTCTCCACACTCTAACGCTCCTAATGAAGATGCATTCCTATGTCTTCTACAACGGCCACCTCAGCGAGGCCGAACGACGCCTCAAGGAACTTGACAAGCCGTCCACAGCCTCTAAAGAGCCCGCATACCAATACCCCCGGGGGCCCATCTCAGCTGACGACAAGGGGTTTTTCCCCGATATCTCTGACCAGAAACCGGATTTATCTTCCCTGCGTGAGGACTTGGCCCGCGAGCTCGTATCCCCTCTCGGCAACCAAGCCTACCCCAAGAACCTCACATGGAGAAACTTTATTGATTTCCTCTTCTGCCCAACTCTCTGCTACGAGCTCGAATACCCACGCACATCCCGCATCCGCTGGGACCAACTCGCCTACAAGATCCTAGCAGTCTTCGGTGTCATCTTCCTACTCACCATCACGTCCGAGGAATTCATTGTTCCCGTCCTTCAAAATTCAGGCCCGCGCATCCGAGAGGCAACATCAGCCTCCGAAACCCTCCTTGTGCTCGCTGAGACAATAAGCCAGCTCCTCTTTCCATTCATGATCACCCTCCTCCTCGTCTTCCTCGTCATCTTCGAGTACGCCCTTGGCGCCTTCGCCGAGATGACCCGCTTCGCCGACCGCCACTTCTATAGTGACTGGTGGAATAGCACAGATTGGCTCGAGTTCAGTCGCGAGTGGAATATCCCCGTGCACCACTTCTTCCGGCGGCACGTGTACATTGCGTCGGTACCACACATTGGCAAGCCCATGGCGACCCTCATAACCTTCCTTATCTCAGCCATCGGGCACGAGATCGTGATGGCCTGCATTACGAAGAAGATCCGCGGCTATGGGTTTCTGGCACAGATGAGCCAGCTGCCTATCGTTATGATACAACGCACGAAGTGGAGCAAGGGGAGGAGAGTCTTGAATAATGCAGCGTTCTGGAGCTCGATGATTTTGGGACTGAGCATGATCTGCTCACTCTATGTTCTTGTGTAGGCCTATAAGTTGCCTGTTTTAGTTTTGAAAATACGATACCCCATACCCCCTTTGATATTCTAGATGGGATTATTAGATTTGCTTCTTGTATGGCAAAATCCATGATTACATATAACTCACTCAACTCTCCATTGAATTTTCAATATCTCCGTTATTTTATGAAAATATATTAAACTAACGTGGTTTATCAGCATGCGGCGCATATCAGCATGCGGCGCATTTTTCGCTAATTCCCAACCCATCAACTTAAACACGCGATTTTTTTGTTTAATATGTCTGTTCTAACTAAAGAAGCTCGTATTATTATAGCAATGGAAGCTATTCAAACCTCTACGAAAAAACTAAGCTGTCGAGCAGCTGCTAAACGCTACGAAGTCCCTCAAACTACACTACGTGCTCGAATGACCAGCCGACCTTCTCGATGTAATTATCGACTAGTAGCTTAAAATTTGACCGACTTAGAGGAAATATCACTTCTTCGATACATATTAGATAAGGATGAAAGAGGATTTGTGCCCTAGCTAGCTAATGTGGAAGATATGGCAAATTTGATTCTAGAATCTCGAGGAAGACAACGTGTTAGAAAGCTCTAGGCACATCGATTTGTACAACGACATCTAGAGTTAAAGACGCGTTTCAATTACGTTTACAACTTTCAAAGGGCCTTATGTTAAGCTTATTAGAGGATGGTTCTAGCTAGTGGAAAATATACAGGCGAAATATGGGATTTAGGATTACAATTCTATAACTTTAACGAAACTGGGTTTATAATGGGTGTTATTTGCCCTAGGATGGTTGTTACACATACTAATCGACTTAACAGCAGAGTTAGCACAAATAATCATAATAATCATGAATATTCATGATTATCACATGATGTTAGAATCACGTGGCCTAAGTAATTATCTAGTATAGTAGAAAAGGAAACCAAATATATATTAATCTAACGTACATGTATAGCGAAAGCGCCAAACAAGCGAAAGCGCCAAAATGATGCGGTGACCAAACCCCCCAACTAAATGTTAAATTGTATCCCCATAGGAGCCTCAAATTGTAATATGAGGAACTCGGGAAAAAAAGGGGTGGTTATACCTGGGCTGGTGATAATAGTACGTCAGTCACGTACGCCCGATGATTCACATCTACGCCTAGTGACTCATTTCTGGCCACTTCGGTTCGGATCTTCCATCTTTCTTCCATCTGCCCCTGCCTACCACACATACCCTATCCTTTCCCACGAATCCCCACACCCCACCATACTTCTCTCTTCTTGTCGGCAGACAAGATGCCTGCTGTTGGACAGGTCTTTGTGGAAGACCTAAGCGAGGTCTTTGTGGATGCCAACATCCACATTTACCTTCCTCCTGCTGCCCGGGAGTCCCTGCCCCGTCCTCTGCCTATATTGGCACCTCGGGTGTACACGACTGTCCCGTACGGGGACCCCTGGGAATGTTCGCCTTGAACACCCGCAAGAAATTGCAGGGTTCTACATCCAGGCAGCGGGAGAGAATGTCGCTCAGGTCTCCCAGGTGAGATCAATGGGTTGTGAGCAGTGTGATGCTGCGTACGTAGAAGAGGGATCTCAGCAGGTTCCCTTCTTTGCATATCCTTTGGGAATGTGCAGGGTGGTGCCTGTGCTTCCTGTGTCATGAAACACCAGGCCGCAGCCTGCTCTCTTCGTGAGTACTTCCCTTCCCTGTTGACTTATGCACCTTTTTGTGTTCTTATGAGTCCGTACGAGCTAACACTTATAGATTCCTCCCAAGATGATCGGGAGCCCACCCCTCCTCCGAAGGATGACACTCCTCGTCCTGGAGAACGTGCTGGGACTCGGGCCCATGCGCGGAAGTTGGCGCTTGAGGCTGCGCAGAGAAATGGTGGTAGGAATGCTGTTTAAGTAGGGATTTGGATGTACGGACTTGTGGTGCTTGGGTTTTTCTTGTATAGATAGACAGAAATGGCAATGGATTTCTTGGTGATTTTTGTGCCATTCTTGTGACAGTTCCGTACGTAAGTGTAAATGTATGAAAAGTCAGGGATTCTCCTGTTTTTATATGGTAAAAGTCAGGGATTTCCCTTGTTACCCCTGATTTCCCCCCTTTTGTTGAAATGGGTTTTGTATTTTGAAAAAAAATATGATGAAATCCGCATGCATGTTGTATCTAGCTCGTACGGATCTATGAAACTGTCGAAAAAGAGTGTATATTTGTTAGGTCCCAAGGTATTCCATTGGGAAAGTTGAAATAAGAACGCATAGTGAAACTGGGTGTAACTGTAGGCGGCTTGGTGATTCTGAGAGTTCTATGTTCGTACGGAGCTCATCAGTCTCCTGTTCTTGTATTGCCTCACTTTTCAGTTGGTGAAGTAGAAATCTAGATCTTGTGATCTAGGGGGCTCGTTTCCGAGGTACAAAGGTAGCCACTGCTTCATACAGAGTTGTGCTCTTAAGTAAGCACTCCTATAGGAGGTGCTTTATGTCCACAAGGTTTAAATGGTTAATAAACTCCTCGTGTCTTTGGCGTGGTAGGGCTTTTGTAAACCCGTCTGCTGGCATCTCGTATGTAGCTATCCACTTGATATCGAGATTGCGTCTCTCTACCTCCTGTCTTAGCCAGTGGGAGTGAATATCAATATGCTTGAGTTTTGTAACTAGCTTCGGGGACTCTTTGAGTAAGAGCCGTATGGTCTGCATATTGTCACATTGTAGAGTGAACTTCTCATTAAGATCAAGTTTGATAGTTGAGAAAAATCGCTGCCACCAATAGAGCTGTTTTGTACTATGTGATAGAGCTAGAAGCTCAGCTTTGTAGTTGAGGTTGATATGGTTTTCTGCTTTGTACAGCGCCAGTCAATTGCTCCTCCAAAGAGTGTGAAGAGATACCCTTCTGTACTCTTTCTTGTAGCTTCGCAATCTGCATACGAAGCATCACTAGAGCATTGGAAGCGTGGTGTATTTATCTTTGGTCCGTACTGGAGGGCTAGATGTTTCGTCTCCTTTAGATAGAGTATAAGTCGATCGACTGCTGCCATGTGGTCTGGTCCTGGGTTAACAAGGTATTCAGATAATTTCTGCACCGTACGGGATATATCTGGTCTTGTAACCACTGCAGCGTAGTTGGTAGATCCTACTTTCTGTTGATATAGGTGGATTTGCTGTTTCTGTGCTTGCCCATCATATGGAGTGAGATTGTCATTAACCATTGGAACCTTAACTGTTTTCGACAATAGCGTTACTACGTACGTAGTCGTTAGAGTGTTCTCCCTGTCCGGTCTCTTATAATTCTTATTCCTAAGAACCATTCAAGTTCTCCTATTTCGTGGAATTCATAGGCTTCCATGAGTTTCGTACGGAACTCTGTTGCTTCTGCCTTATGGTAGGGGTGGCTTAGAATGCAGATATCATCTACATAGAAGAACACAATGATTGTAGATGAGACGAATAGGCACTGGGCTTCTGGGACCTGTACGAGGCCTAGCTTCTTCAGTGTATCTGAAAAGTCGCAGAACCATAGGAGTGGTGACCGTCGGAGTCCATATAAGGCTCTGTTGAGTTTCCAGCATTGTCCTTGCTCCTAATAACTGTCAGCACACCGTACATAGACCTCCTCGTCAATTCAGCTGTTTGTAAAGGCGTTTACTGCATCTAATTGTTCAGTATCCAAATCGAAGTAGGCTGTAATAGCCATTAAAGCTCGAAAGGTCTTTGAAGCAAGTGTTGCTGCATACGTCTCATCATGTATTGAATAGCGTTGTAGGTCCCCTCTTACTACAAGTCTAGCCTTGTATTTGACAAGGTAGCCATTATCGTCAAATTTGTAGGTAAATACCCACATTAGTGGAATGACAAAACTCCGTACAGTGCTGTCTGGCATCGATTTAAAGGTGTCTTGCTTCTGAAGGTCTGTTATTTCCTTTTCCGCCGCAGCTTTGAAACCAAGCCTATGAGGGTGGTTCTAAAGCTGGTTCCAATACTTCGGTGCAGCAGTGAGCTCCGTACGATGTATCTTACGTTTCTGGAACTCTGTACCAACGATGAAAGCTTGGTGCTGGCTTATCCTTGCTTCTGGGTGTGCAATGGTTGCAAGGTAGATGTCATGTCTCCGTACGCTGTCTTCTGAACGCTCTAGTGTCATTCAGGTTTCTGGAGTTGAGGCTCTTCATTTTGAGGTTCTATCTCTACTGCTTCCTCTTGTTGAAGAGCTGTATCTGTTGTTTCCGCCGCGTACGGAGTTGATGTTTCTTGTAGAGGTTGTAGAGCTGCGCGCTCCTCTTCATATTCCTCTCCTTCCTTTTCTAAAAGGTCAGGAAGTTCAATAACCTGGACTGTCTTTTGGAGCTCCAATTCTACAACTGTAGCTTCGTACAATGGATCATACACCTTTGTCTCGTCAAAAGTAACATCCCTGGTTACTATAACCCTCTTAAGATTTGGAACCCATATTCTAAAGATGTTTGTAGAGTTGTAGCCAATAAGATAGCCTATTTGGGCATTCCTCTCTATCCTCTTTAGCTTTGGTTGCTTAAGGAGGAGTGCGTAGGCTCTACATCCATAGGCGCGGATATGAGAGAGTAAGGGCTTAGTAAGCTCTGGCTTTTGAAGCTGTGAGGGTAGGGACTGGAGTAGAAGTCCGTACGGAGTCTCATCATTAATGACAGATGATGGAGACCGGTTTATAAGGTAACCTGCAGTCTGAAATATTTCAGGCCAAATTCCTTGTGGTAGGTTGCCTGCTTCCTTTAAAGCTTGTGAGCGTGTGATTATCGTACGGCCTGAACGTTCGATTCCACCGTTTGGTTCGGCAGTGTATGGGGGTGTAAGCTGCACTTCGTATCCTTCATCTGCAATCCCTGCATCCCTTATAACCCCATCGTCTCCGTACGTAGCTTACAAAGTCCTTAATTGTTTGTAGGACTGTGCCTTGCCTCTTGTCTTTAATGGTGTAGACATGGTTCATGCGGCAGAAATCACACTGTAAGTGTAGGGCCTGTGTGCTACCATCGTACGCTTCTGGCATCTGGATAAGGTCTAGGTGCACCTTCTCATAAGGGATCTGTGACCGTGGTGTAGATCTTCGGGAGATCCTTTTTGTAGCATGGGTAAGGCGGCAGACTTCGCAGTTAGTGTCGTACGAATCTGGAATAGGAGCTTCAACGAATGTGCAAGCGATTCGCCGGGATTCATAGAATCGGTTATGGACTTCATATGCGTAGCAAGCAACCTGGTAACTGCATTGGACAACGGTAATTCAACGGTAGCCGAGACCGCTCGGTTGAATGTCTTAGGACGTCATCCGGCTGTCTCTTCTCGGTCTTCTCGGGTAGCCTTTTCCTTTGCCACCGATGTCCTCGTCTCTCTCTTACAATAGTATAGTTCTTGGGAAATCGTGAAAGCATATCAACTTCTGGATCCTCATTGATCATGGCCTGTAGTTCGTCGATGGTGTCCAGGTTCAACTTGACAGCGGCTGACAAAGTTGTTGAGCCAGCTTGTTGTTTGAAACCAGCGAGCTTGCTCTGATATGATTTTGGAAGTGGAGCCCGCTTAAAAGAGTTACCTATCTCTTTTAAGCGGGCTCTGGTAAGCAAAAAGTTGGCGACGCGCGATTCGCCTTTTACTGATATAAGGCTGTAGTCTTTGTTATTTGGACTGTAAATATCACAGTACGATGTCTTTTACGGTACCGCATCTCTCTTGGTGGCATAACTTCTACGGTACTAAATTTATTACAGTACAGTATGTAGTGGTTTTGGTGCTGTACGGAAAACGGTACCATATATATGACACACTGCACTGTACATATCACAGTACAGTAGCAACATATGTTGAGACACGAGAATCTTGCATGTTCTGGTTCGCCATCCAGGCCTGGCTTCCATTCAACAACAAATAAACCAACTGCAGCCATGTATCTCATCTTTTGAACTCTTCCGTCAAACACTCCATCTACCCTTTTGCGATACATTTCCCCATCTTCACCAAGCCAGACTGACTCATCTAGGCCTTCAGCCCGTTCAACCTCACCGTCATCAAACCATACTCCATCCTCAGCCCGTTCAACCTCCCCGTCATCAAACCATACTCCATCCTCAGCCCGTTCAACCTCCCCGTCATCAAACCATACTCCATCCTCAGCCCGTTCAACCTCCCCGTCATCAAACCATACTCCATCCTCAGCCCGTTCAACCTCCCCGTCATCAAACCATACTCCATCCTCATCCCGAAACAACCCATCTCCGAAGTTGTAGAGTCCATGTTCCAAATTTTCAGTTTCTAGCATGAAATCGGAAACTGGTATAAATACCATATACTTCGGATACTCGATCTGCTCTATAATTATAACATAGGGTTAGTTTTGCATGGATTTTCACGCCAAGCTCCCAACTGCTAGTATTGTTCACATTTGTAAAGTAATGTATTTTTGAAAAGTCTCTTTTATATACGGTATATCCGTACCGAGACGGGGAGCATCCACTCAATTCTTCTTCGGATGCTGAAGAAATTCCTGCTGTTTATCATCGCGAAGCTTTCAGTAATGGCGCTGTTGACGCCAGGTAAGGTAAGGTAAGCGCTCTCTATTTTCAACCTGATATCATCCAGCGGCGGCAGCTTGAGGTATCTGAGAGTAGACCCAATTCGAAAGTTGGAGTGGCAGGCGCCAGGGAAGTTTGCCAAACTTTAGCGACGTTCTGAGATGGTTCAATAGGTCATGGGTGTGCGAGCGGGACATCCGAGGCCTTCCACCACTCCGATGTCTTTTGCAGCCAAATATCTTTAAACGCCTCTGGAAAGATCTCCTCGACATCGTACAGCTCCTCGCCGCTCATGAGATACCGCCATTCCTCGCCAGCTAAAGTTGTTCCTTAGAGGTTTGCGGGGAGATTTCGCCGTTGGTCCGTCATAGTAGAACTCATTCTGCGATTTGTACGACAGCGATTATTATTTGTTATTTCTTCGTCGGTTGATAGTCTTCGGTTTTCATGGTGAAGTTGATGCATCGATTGTGCTCCACCCAGTGATCCTCCACCCAATGACCCTCCACCTGATGATCCTCCACCCAATGGTCCCTAATTCTTACATCGTTATGATAAATCACAGCCTCACAACATCATCAGCCACAGCTGGCAACCACGCAGTTCTTTCGGGCAAAAATAAATTAACTTTATGCAGTTAAAATTTAAAATGCACCAATTAAGTTTTCAAAGTGTATAATTCAATCAAGGCAATCTACAGTAAACTCCTTAAAACTCCGAGATGCCATCTAATTTACCCTCTTTGCTTTAAACCACTCCCATCCCATCTAATTTAACCCAAGGTCCTCAGAAAAATCAACCCAAATCACCAACCAACCTCATTACTCCGGCTCCACCACCCCTTCCGCCCCCACCATTCTCTGCCCTGGCATCTGCTTCGCCCAACTAAACCTCCTCTCATCAATCCTAGACCGTCCCCCAATGTCACCGAACCCCGCCGCCGCCGCCGCTCCCCACATCCACGCAGGCCAAACGACCAAAAACGTCGCCTCACTCTGCCACACCATCTTCTCCACCAACCCTCCCCCTCAACAGCTCTCTCCACCACCCCCTCCCCCTCTCTCTCCTCATCCCACCCAGCTTCCCATTCCTCGACCCGCCGGCGCACCTGCTCCAGCTCGTGGAGGACGTAGGACTTCAATTTCTTCGCTGCGTTGCCTGCACTCTGATCTGGGGGGCGTTTATTCCTCTCAATCTCAGTGCTAGTCCATACCGTCTGAGGAACGCTATTGTTGACGCCCCAGCCACTGTTGGCATCCCCATCGTTGCCCCGGCTTTCGGTGCTATTATTTATTCCCACGGCATTGGTGCTTGTCCCTCCCCAGGCCGACGATGCATCTGTGTTTGCCGTGATATGCGTCTCTGTGCCTTGTCCCCATCCGGTTTGATTTGTAGAGTTATTGCCCGTTTCGCCCCAACCCGACGAGCTATGTGTGTTTGGCGCTTCGTGAGTGTCTCCTTGACCACCCCATGCCCCTCTGCCTCCTCTGCCGCCCTTTCCTCGTCTGCCTCCTCTGATACCCAAATCTCCTCTGCCTCCTCTGCCTCCTCTGTCTCCTCTGACACCCCAATCTCCCCTGCCTCCCCTGCCGCCTCTGCCACCCCTGATGCCTCCTCTATCTCCCCACCACTCACCTCTCCCTCCACGTCCCCGCCCGCGACGATAATCGTTGTTGTGACCATGGTTGTAGTTGCTGCCATTATTATAGCCGCCTCCATTGTCATTACCACCACCGTTTTCCGGAGCACCGCCCCACCTCGCTCCCACACCCGAACCATCTGCTGTCGAGCTCCCCATATGCACATCTCCCCCCTCAGCAGGCGCACCTTCAGCTCTCAGCGTCCCAGAAAATCCTCCGCCTCCAGTCTCCGCCGTGGTCCATCCCGAGCTCCCAGTATTGTTGTTCTGCCCCCCTCCCCCATTCCCCGACCCTGTCTCCGTCGTCGTCCACCCTAAACTCCCCGTATTGGTATTGTTGTTCTGATGCCCTCCCCCACCCCCCCATCCGTTCCCATAATCGCCCCCCCTCCCTCCCCCGAACCCCCCGCGCGGACTCACAGGATGGCCTCCCATAGCTTCAAACCCCTGCTGCGTAGTTGGGGGAGGTTGTTGCGGCTGCACATGCGCACCCGGAAACGGTTGATGTGGTAGTGGAGCCTGGCCATTCGGGAGCGGTCGGTGCAGTTGTGACTGTGTGTTACTTCGAACGGAGGTTATGGACCGACGGTGGTTGTTGCGGCATGAGCGGGGCATGATGGATGGATGCTCGTATGGCGATCGAGAAAGGAAAGGTGGGATGGGCGAGAAGGTGCGTGGATGGCGGAGAGGAAGGGGGGGATATATGGGTGAGGATAAAGCAACATTGGTGCTTTGGATTGGATGACGTGGAAGGCTCGCGAAGAGAGGAATTGCTGATGTTGAAGATGGTGGAGTAGAATGGGAATAGGCGGTGAGAGGGTGTGTGAGATGAGGTGGAGTCAAAGAGTAGAAAGCGTATGGGAAGTGGAAAGAAGTAGAAAAGGGACGATGGTGGAGGCTGAGAGAGATATAGAACTTTCCAATCCAAACTTACAAAGATAGTCGCCCATCTATCTATCTCATACATCCAAACGATCTCTTTGTTCCGTTTAAATCAGAAGCCTCCGTGTCTTAGACTTGGAACTCTAGTTCGGCGAGCCATATTCAATGTCGATGTGACATTCGATAAACATGCACTGGTTTCGCATTCTGGATCCTGCAAGACATCCGGCCGATGCCATAAGACGCCCACCACAATCACAATTCATGGACCCGCGTGAGCTTGAGGCTGAATGCTGTATGGTCGCAAAAAATATCCATCTATTTTCCGCACGCCGCGCCCGTTGAGAAACCTACCTATTCGGGCTCCTAAACCCTGGTCTCCCATAATAACGTCATTTTAATCATCACTGTGATTGGAAATGCGGCTGGTGTACAAGTATCCCTCGGCGCCGGGCTGCCCCATAGATCGCCCAAGAGTGTCCCCGACTGCACCCATCGCTCACGTTGATGCCAGCGCAGGAGCAGAGGCAAACTTCTGTCTCCTCGCCTCTGCCTTGGCCTTCTCCACCGGGTCATCTAAGACACTCTTATACGCCTTCTTCGGCTCCTGCTTCGGCACCGAGGGCCTCGCCTCCTTCTTCACTGGCTCTGCTCTCCTATCAGGTGTCTGCCTCTTTGCCTCCCTCCCAGTCTTTCCCTCCCTCTCCTCTCTACCCCTCTTCTTCCTCTCCGGCAATGCCCCATCCAGGCCACTCACATCCACATGCCCTGCGCCGCCCCCAAACTTCTTCGCCCGCTCCGCCCGCTTCACCTCGTCATCATCGGGCACAATACCAAACTTCTTGGCGCGCGCCGCCCTACGCTCTGCCTCCTTCTCTGCATCAGTCTTCTGTAGCCCAATGCTGAAATCTTGCTTCGGCTCCTCCACAACAACCGCCTCGACTTCGCCGCTCGCAGCCACACAGCCGTCAGCGGCCGCAGGCGCATCTGTGCAGCCAGTGACTTTCAGATCCGTAGTCGCGGCTGGGTCGACATCTTGCTTCTGGTTTGGGACCGCAAGAGGTGTCTCAATTGCGCCTTGTCCACCAGCTGCGATGGTGGTTGCTGCTGCAGTGGTGGTGGTCGCACCGGTGGCGACCTTGCTGTCATCTTCGTCCCAGTCGATTTCGTCATCGGCAGCTGCTGGGGCTGGGTAGGTTAGCGAGTGTGCGATTTAAGAGAAGGCGGCCAAGCGCATAGAGCGCATAATATGAGGTGATGACATACCTGCGCTGATGGGGGCTTTCTTCTTGTCATCCTCCTTCAGGCGCGCGATAAGATCGGCTTTGTTTCCTGAGAGGGGAAGAGCGCGCTCGGTGAGGATCTTTTTAAGGTCGGGGACCTTGAGGGAGTTATAATCGGCCATTGTGAGGAAGGTGGTGTTGGAGTTGTGTGAATTGTATTGCGACAGAGCAATGGGAGGAGGGACAGGGATGTTGATTGCAGCCGAAAATATGAGGCGCGAAAATATTGCCAAGGAGCCTTTCAGTAATTATTGCTCTGTATACGAAATGTCCGCTAAAAACAAAATTTATTGAGAGATTGAAAAGGCCATACTGCAATGTATACGCAGCCTATTGTATAGGAAAAATCTTTACACATATTTTTCCCTACAATCCCACTATAGTTGATGTTCCCCTTTCTTCGTACCTTAAGACTTTGATAGACCTGGAGCGGTCACCTCCTAATGCAAAATGTGCATGCCTATGTCTTATTATTCTGTGGCATGGGAGAAGAGCGACGATATACGGAGAAGCGTGGATGCATAATCTGTAACACTAGTCGTTTCTCTGTCTTAGTAACCCCCTTTCCCGCCTTCCTTTTCCTGATGTCTTCGTTATTATATACTAATTCTTCGTAGTTCCAAGGGCTGAGCTTAGAGAAGAGCTTAGTATTATTGAATTCAGATAGGAAATCAGAGAAGGCAAGGGGGATAGTAGGCACTAGCAGCATGCTTTGCGGATTAGATGGCTATGGCTGCCATCTAAGGCTACTCGGAAAGCTAGATGTGACGGTACAAGAGCACGAACGAGGTCGAATGCGACTTGGGCAAAATGATTGTTTACAAAGAGAGAAAGAGATTCGTAAGGAAAGCTCTGACTTAAGCTATTTACACAATATTCATAAAGTGAGACTATTCATAAAGTATGAAAGTCACCTGACCGTTCCCTCACACTAGACGAAGGAATAGGGGGGCTATAGAGTATATTCGGTAGATTTGAAAGCTAGATAGGGGGCATATTAGCCTAGAACGTTAACTATAACGTTGAATAGGGGGTATTCATACTGTAATTATCATATATAGATCAATGGAATTATCACTACCTTACCAGCGCACAGGCCAAATCCAGTACGGTGGCCATACCGTATTGCTACCGTACGCGACTGTCGCACTGGAGCGACGGTACAATCGCCGCTCTAATACCGACGGTGTATTGCAACGCCCGTGAGCGGCGACCGTGCCCTTGATCTGGGCAGTATCGCCGGCGCGACAGATTTTGGAGGTAATACTGTAGTTAGAGTACTACTGTAATCGCGAAAGATCACCGTCGCCGGCCATAAGCTGTAGATTTCTCACCACAGTATGGCGACGGCAATGCTGCCGTAATTCTGTGTGGACGCCGTTATGGTGGCCAGAACCGTATCCATACGGTATTCTCGGTGAAGCCGTGGCGGCAAGATCATGGTGGTCATCAAGAAACGCAGAAATCCAAACATAATACCGTATATTTCTAATCTGCCTACTCTATCCAGCCCGGATCCACAGCCTGCGACTGTTCCAAAGTCGCACCAACCACCACATAGCCCCTCCACTCCCTCCCTGTGCCCGGCACTCCAGACCTTGACCCCACCCCGAATCCAACGCCAGCTCCCTTGTCCCACCCCCCCCAGTGTCTGGAAGTTGCGTATCCAGCCAAGTCCGCGGCCCAAGGCTGCCCTGTCAAGTGGGTGTTTGTTGGGGGGGGTAATATCCAAGATGTTGCTGAGCGATTGTGTATGGTTTGTGTTGATGGTCTTCAGTGAGGGTGTGGTTGTTGGTCGGAGACAGAAGATTGTCGAGAGCTGGATATATCCACATTGGTTTGGCACTGTTCTGGATGGATCCAGATATCTGTTAGTGGTTTGTGATAAGGGGTTGTTAGGTGACCGCAGACTTACCTGGTGGATCTGTGCCTGAGCTGTGGAAGAGCTGCCGAAAGTCCTTAACTGAGGCAGAAATGAACGGGGGAAAAGAAGAGGAAAAGAAGAGACGAGAAGCTGGACTTACCTTGTGTAAAGCTGGCATAATGTCAGCAGCTACAGAGAGCACGACAGAGAAGGAAACTCCAATGTGGAAACACTGGAAAGAAGCTGCCAAAGTGGCACCAAAAACAGAATGAAGAAACGGACGAAATAGACAAATTTGAAATACATAAATGAACCAAATACCAACCACTGAACGAGTGTGATCATCACCAGAGTTGTGAGCAGCACTGCTGATAAACATAGACCCAGAAAAAGAAAAAGAAACAGCACTTATACCTGTTGAGTATAATCGGCCAAATGTGGCGCTGACCAGGGACCCCAAACAAATATCCATATCTATCGCCGCCTCCATTGCCACCTCTATCACTATCACCATTTGCTATCACCATCATTATCTCCAAACCAAGACACAAAAAGCTGAGGAGAAAATGGGGAACTCATTCAAACCAAAGATACCTACCTATGCCACACCTATGCTGGCTGCCCAAAAACAGCTCCACGGATCGGGCATAGTAAACACCCTAAAACACAGCCAAAATCAACCCAAAGCTATGCTACCTCCGTTTTTTCAGAATTCGGCAGGCCGACCCCTTCAAGACCAGAAACGGCATTGAAGGTCGGGGAGGTTTCAACATAGAGACCAATATCAGGAGATCATTGCCACCATGATGATCGGTATCTGGGATGGTCGGCTTGTTGCCCACCGGGGGGGGGGATTGTATGGGGAATGGGCAGGATTTGTAGGTGCTTTAGCTTCGGCGAGGTTGTGGATTCGAGAGCATTTTTGGCTTTTGCGACTGGAAGAGGAGAGTCAGTGGAGACTTAATCAAAATAAGTGATAATAGAGCAAGAGAGGGTTTCCGGCGAGATGATCTGATGGGCCCGCCAGCTGTGCTGACGGTGGCACCAACGAGGGCTTGGATAACTAGACCCCTTGGAATATAAAGCTTCTTGAGCTGATACTGGCATTCGTATGCCCTGAGGAAATGCTCCAGATGATGGCATGAGCTGTGGCAGCTCTGCTGGGTTTTGGCGGGGTTTCCTGGTGTTGTGCTGGGTGCATCAGAAACAGAGCAGCAAACTTACCTCAAAGCAATTTAGATAGCTCACCTATCTAAAGGTGAAGTCGATAATCATGTAGAAAGGAAACAATAGCTGTAGAAATACAGTATCCAAAACATAGAAGTATGGGTGAAGGTGAAGAAGTGGTGAACTCAGTACAGGTATGGAAGCGAGCGATTTGTGCGATTCTGGCCCAAAATGGAAGGATCCCAGCTTCAGCCCAGAGAGCTCCGAATTGCCCAATATAGAACCTCAAAGTTATCATTTCAAATGGAAATGGAATTTTATTTTATTCTCTCTATACTGCTTTCATTTCAATTGATATCTGTGCCATTCCAGCGCCTGGATCCTGAAGTTCTGCCGCTCACATTACTCCCACGTCCCACCAGCAGTGCACCAGCGTTGCTGCCGATGAGCCTCGAAGGCCAAGATCTACCTCACCTCGGCGTGCTGTTTGATCCAAACTCAGTGGCCCCTTAGAATATACTGAGGCGGCTTGCTTTCTTTCTTGATTAATACTGACTATGAACACCGGGTTACTTCCAATCCCTGGAAGTCCTACGATTCCCTGGCTGTTGTGGACAACCCTCATTTGAGGGAGTTGAAGAACAGGGTCCTCTGTCCCGCATTCTTTGATATCTGACACAATTGCAAACAGCCTTGCCTCGCCTTGAATCTTTTCGTGAACGAAGCCAACTTCGAACCGGCAAATGCTCTTTCCCCGGACGGTAAAGCAATTCCCTGCTTTAAAAGTTACTCTGTGGCGTGTGCTACTGGATATATGTTAGATACTACAGTGCTTGATAGAAAGGAAATGAAAGCTTGAACTTACGGATCGATGAAACTGAACCGGGAGAAGTACTGCAATGGGCGGCCCCAAGACTTGTAATATGAGGATCTTCATAATCTACACGGTATGCTTCTCGTAGTTTTTGCACGAATGGAAGCCCTCCTGGAGCTGCTCTGGCCACAAAGGCAAATCCAACTCTTTCTCCACATCCTCCCGGCGGACGCATAGGGTGGCTTTCGGCGAGATGTGCGAGCTGTCGGGCTGGAGGACATTGATGGAGGCTTCTTCGACAATGTCCCACTTCTCGGATGACGGGAGAAGGTGGTTGGTCAGTATGGGACATGTCTTGTGTAGATTCCACATCTGCATCGAAAGTACAGGCTCGTCATACTCAAAGGCGCCATTTAAGAGGAGGCGCAGCGTGAGATTAATGCACTCTCTCCGCATCAGCACCTTCTCAACACTGCGGCCATTCAAATATTGGGCCCAATGCTTGAACATTCTGTTTTGTAGTTAGAAAGAAAATCAAAACCACAGAGAGAAGATGGTTGAGCATACCTGTGTTTATCCCAGTGTGCGGCACAGATACCTGATTACCTGTGGTGTTCAGGTAATTACCTGGGTAATTACCTACCTGGGCTCATTCTCAAAATACCTGAGTATCCCGGTATTTTCAGATACTTACCCAGATACATGCCAAGTATTGCCAAGTGTAGCCAAGCCGCACAAATGCTAACGTTGAAATACTCGTCTTCATGCTTGATATGGTGATAATTGCCGTGAAAATGAGTGACTCTCCGTTGTCAGACGTGCCGACGGACCTTGATGGCTATAATCCTCGCGATGAGCCAGCCCTACCAGGGCTTTTTACCCCTTTTCAGCAATCAAATCCAATTCCTGTCCGTCTACACCCGCCTAGCCAAATGCTACCGCCAACGCAGTCGCTGCTGTTCACGAAGGAACTATATTCAAGAATACTACTTGAGAGCAACCCGCCAACTATCAAAGTATGCTGTATGCAGCCTAATTGCGGATACTCGCCCGCAGCTCAAACCCATGCTCAAGCTGCTGCTTCAACTGGCAATCTTTGGAAACACTATAGTCTTAAGCATAAAGGAATCTATGATGCTCTTAAACACAAGAATACAGCGCCTTCAAGTCAATCTAGCAGCACATCATCATTTTTTGAGCCTCGGAGACCAGCGACCCATGAATCAAGACCAACAAACAATCCAGCCAAATATAGAGAGTTAGTGCTATCGTTTATAGTATCTAATAACCTGTCTTTACGCATTATCGAAAGCTATTCATATCGTCAATTAGTACGGTTCTTAAGTCCATCTGTGTTATCACTTTCGTCAAGAACATTGC